TGGCTGAAACGTCGAATTTGCAAACTTCGTGTTGAAAATTAGCTAACAAGGTCATTACAAAAACAGGTTGCGGGGATGAAACTTGAAACTTGAATGTCCAAAGAATAATCAAGTCCAAGCCTTGTATGTGTAGTCGTTGAACTCTAGGTTCCTACGTAAAGTTAAAATGTCCCTATTTCAAGAAGAATAAACTCACGAAAACAAAGAAAATGCACTAAATTCACGTTCATTGTTTTGATTTTGACCGCCTGACAACTATATGGAAATATCAGAGTGATTATAAACAAGGACTCTGTGACGGGCAACTTATAATATCCGTGTTTTAAAGATTTTAATGATATCAAGCCAGTCCAGTTCAAACTATTATCACGTGGTACAATTCTCATTTACAAATTATGAATATTAATTAGCAAAAGTACTACTAATTTCTGGCTATGGGTCTCCTTTCCCGTCTACTACGCCCCTGAATTTATATATACCCCTCCACACCAAGAAAACAAGCATACATATGTACAAACAAACCAAGTTAAAAAAATATGTTTTGCCTCCTCCATCCCCCTTTTTGAAAGTGGGGAGGAGGGAAGTGTCCCCTTCCCGGGCTCATAAATCCCTCCCCCATCACCACCACAAAAAAAAAAAAAAAAAAAAGAAAACAAATACAAGAAAGAAAACAAACAACAGAAATATGAATAACAGATTAAAGACATTTAAAAATTCAACGACGTATGCAATAAGAAAGAGTAATTAGACAAACGTAATACAACATGTATAAATAATGTCAAAATCAATATAATAAAGAAAAAAATATATAAATATAAAACAAACTGTTTCTCTGTTTTATGGGGCATAACATTCAATGAAAAATAATTTATTTTGTCTCGTTTAAATTTTTTTATCCACTTATTTTGGAAATCAATTTTTTGTTGCTCATTCCAGTAATGACCATATTCGAGTAGACTCAAGTATTGATTACGTGACACAATCTATTTTTTCATTTTCCATCCCTATATCCAAAATGGATGGACGTTTATTGACGTTGAGACTGATTTTGTGCTATCACAATCCGCCTTAAGAAAATGCATTGAAGGAGAAATCCTCCGTAAAGTTCGATTTAAATGATTTAAAGATTTCAGTTTAACTGCTAAGCAAACCCACGAGAGGTTTGTACATGGAATTATTTTATGGTTGCAGTTACTCTTGCAGTCAGTAACTTCGAAGACCTTTTATTTAATTTCAGCATTTTGGGACATATTTAACTTTTTTATAATTATAATTTTTATGAACAATTATATTTATAAAACAAGGAAATTAGGTCACAAGGTGTACGATAAAGTGCCTATGGACTCACCGAATGCACGAGTGACTCTATTCATAAAAAGTGTCTGTGTAACTTCATAAAAAGTGTCCGTGTAACTTCATAAAAAAATGTTTGTGTAACACCCGTTATTGTTCTGTTTTTTTATTGCTCTGCTGGGGGCAAAGTCGTACAATAAGGAAAAACCAAACCAGAATCAAATTCTCACATTCTCGTCCAATCATTAAACTTTACACAGCTCCACGAGCATTCACTGACATGAACATAGTTCTCTACATGTTACAGACAAAGCTTTAACACAAATTGTTGATCTTTGCTTTTTGTTGATATTCTATTTTGAAAACTGTCGCACTCGTGTATCAGACTAATATTAATACCACACGTTTTGAAACGTAACAATTTGTATCCACTAAGTAAGAGGCCGTTTCTATAGTGAAACTTTAAAAGCAATTCAAAAAATATTTAAAAAAACGAATTGATTGTACAAAATGGGAATAACCATGTTTTATATTGCACAATTGTATACAACAGTAGTGTATTAACAGGACACAATAACTAAACAAGTTACTTTCTTTAAAAAAAAAGAAATGCAATCGTGAACCTAAATGCCTGTTTGTCATAGATCAGATAATTGTTATATAATGATGCATATTTTACTTAATATTTTTGTTTTATATAAGATGCAGAAACACAGATATGGATTCTTAATGAAACTGCTGTTCAATATTGGGCATAATTTCTTTCTTTCCCATCCCTCTCTCTTCCCACAGATACAACATGCCAAATAAGAGACAGAAACTTGCACTGATTCTTCTTTAGGTGGGGCATGGAGTTTTGCGCCTGCTACTTCAGTATTTAGTCTGATTTTGTGTGTGTGTGTGTTGTGGAGGTGGGGGGGGGAGGGGGGAGGGGGGAGGGGGGTAGCAAATACCACAATGAGTATCACTCAGTTGGTCCGTAAATCGTTATGTATATCTATAGAATTTTTTAAGGACCCAAATGCATATTCATTTATGTTTCGATATGACATATAATTTCTGCATTTAGCACACCTAAAACATGTAAAAGATCTCTTTAAAATTCGTCGTAATTTCACGGGTTATCTTCCATTTTTAAATAAGATTATGTATGGTTTAATTGTATAAAAAAAGAAAGATGCTGTATGATTGCCAATGAGACAACTCTCAACCAAAGACCAAATGACTATATGGCACAATACGGGCTTCACAAATGAGCAAAACCCATACCGCATAGTAAGCTATAAAAGGCCCTGAAATGACAAATGTTAAACAACTCATACAAGAAAACTAACTGCCTGATGTCATCGAGTTGTCTTTTATTATTGCTTTTGTTCCCTTATTAATATTTTGATAAAAAAATGTAGTGCTTTAATTATTATGAATAGAAATTCATTATCTTATCACTGACTGTATCTATCCTCACTCGGTCTCTCGAAAAGACATTCGCTATTTTATCTCTGACCCTGTATTAGTATGTGACCACTGCTATTGCATATGGATAATATCCGACATCACAGACATCACACCAAAACTTGTCATCATTCTTTCAGAATTGTCAATCGTCATACCGCTTAAATATTTGTATAACTTAAAAAATAAAAACTTTTCGTTGTAGCATCTTATATCTGAATTTTACACATCTCAACAATTTTATGGTTCAGTTTGTTTTTCTTTAATTTGATTTCTATTCATTTTAGTTTGTAATTTGATAACGATAAATTATATTTTGATCCAATGTTTTACAAATTAAAGTAACGGACTTCTAATAATAATTACCTCTTTGATATTTTTTTGCTATTTTTTTGCAAATTACAGACAAATATAAATACCTTGGAGTTTTTTTCAATGAGAAAAAACGCTGAAAATCTTTCTACCGCTGGTGGAAGAGCACTCGGAGCTATTATATCGAAGATACACAGTTTAAAAGAATTTGGCATAAAGACTTATGAAAAACTGTATGGTTCTTGTATTGTGCTTATACTCGACTACTGTTCTTCAGTGTGGGATTATAGAGACTTTAATTGTGTCGACAGTGTTCAAAACAAGGCCATTAGATACGTTTTAGGAGTTCACAAGTTTGCTCCAAAGCTAACTATCAACGGAGATGTTGGATGGTTACCTTCAAAAGAACGTCGCTGGTGTAATATGGTAAGGTACTGGAACCGACTGATGGATATTGACAATACTAGACTTTGTAAAAGAGTGTTCCGATGGGACTACGAAATATGTACGAACAATTGGTCATCTAGTGTAGGAACAGTAATGTCTTTAGTTGGTATGGATGATAACTTTCAACAAATGCTAAAATGTGATGTTAACAGTGTCAGAAACAATCTTGTGGATATATGTGCAAAAAATTAGCACACGAATTTATCTAACTTTCCGAAACTGCGTACATATAGAACCTTTAAATCTACATATTCAACAGAATCATATATTAAACTCAATTTACAACGTAGTGAAAGATCGGTCCTAGCACAATGCAGATGTGGAATTCTTCCATTATGATTGCAAACAGGACTCCGGACACGTTGAAAATGAACTACACTTTCTAATTGAATGCCAATTTTACAATGGACTAAGCAATCAATTATTCTCTGGACTTAACGAAACCATATTGAATTTGAATAACAGTGAAAAAATAAATTTATTGTTGTCTGAATATCCTCGAAAAACAGCTCGATACTTTGAACAGTCATTAACAAAACGCAGACAACACTTATATTTAAACAATGAACATGTATATAAAATTCCTGATGTCAATCTGAATTAATACTAGTATCTATTTAAAGTGACTTATAGGTCCATTGGGGCGGGTGTAATCTAATTGAAATATTTCAATAGTGTACATAATTTTGTCATACACAATGTCACTATAATAAACATATTTGTATTGTATTGTATTGTATTTTAATCAAAATTAGAACAATTTTAGAAACTCCGTGCTTGTTTGCATCTTTCCTGGACGTAGACTTTTAATTGCTGCTTAAACGGAGCTAAATGGACCATTTGTAAAATATTAAAAACACCCTATCTATTGACTGTCATTTAATTTTAAATGTGAACACAGCTTGTATTTCAGAAAACTGAACATATGCGACTCTATTGATGTAGGATATCAATTAGCCTCGTTTCACACTTATCTCTATAGCAACAGTAAAACGCTAATACATATTCATTACCGTCAATTAATTACCTAATACGCAGGCGGCCATAAAATAGAACAGATGTATTTCGAAAAGACAGTAGGCGATTTCCAGCACTCCGAAAGACTACAAAAACAACCAATATATATGGATGAACTCTCAGCTCAGTGTTCACGCAATGATGATACGACATGCGTTTTCCCCAATGCTAAGCTCCATTATTGTATCTTTATTATGTCAAGTCAATACACTGTTATCGTCTATGTTATCTGATGGTATCTTCAAACTTAGTTTAAATACATAAAACATTTTGTATTTAAAGGATAAATTTAATGCTTGATCAGGTAGTAATCATTTGTAATAAATGTTTCATGATAACAGAAATGTATCCTTTGTTCAAATTCACGAGAACAATTGGTGATAAGAGAATATAAAATCTAATACAAAACACAAAACAATTGCTTCACACCCGTAAAAACCGGCTATTCAAACTATTAATTATTACAATTTGCATACGTATTCAAATCGACTACCCTCTATGATTCTAATAACGACATACATTTTTTTGAATGTCTTGGAGATATATGCTTCTTACGTCGGGTAATTTTAATGTGGTGGTTTAAAGAGAAGTTTTGAAAATGGACACGGAAGGGGTAATGTACTCTTTTTAAATATTGTATTGCAATTATAAAACTGACATTGGACATATATAATATTTATCGATCAATATCTCTGCTGGTTAACTAGCGGTAGCTGAGGGTACCATAAACTCGGTAATTAGTACTTCGGTACGGACATGATTAATTACAAACCTTTCTAAAAATGCTTTTTTTTTGTAGTAAAACTACAAATTATTAAGAAACAAAGGTGTCAACTCCCACAGGCAAAGTTAACCTAATATGAATTTAGCAATGTTTTAGGTCCCTTTTGGTCACAAAGCTCTTCGACTGTTTTGGTTCTTTAATTATATGTCCTTGGCTTTCAAATATTCGGCATTCTTAAGGAAAGTAAAAACAAAAAAAACTTCTCGGAAGCATGAAAGAATTTGCATATTATCTAACAGAAAAAAAAATTACATGCGGATGCTACTTGAGGGTCTGGATGCGAAATTTAGCAGATGTAATGTCTTCATTGTGTAGAAAACATTTTATGCATCTCATTCCAATTTGTCAGTTGCTATAAATCTTAGCCTTAATCATCTTTATGTGTTTATATCTGTTAAAGAGCATGTCTTGAATTGTCTTTAAACATACGAACTGCGTCGGATAGAAATCGACCTTTTGCAAATATATATCAATACATCTGTTAACCTTTTTCGGGTTGAAAAATTCTCTACGGAAAGTCTGAAACTGTTTGAAAATTTTGTTGTTATAAGAACCCTGCAAAATAGACTAAAATCCATCTTTTGTTTCGAATTTGAATGTTCCAAAATCAATCAACGTCTTTACATGTACATGCATACGTGCACTTGCATAAGGTCGATTTCTATCCGACAGAGCTCAATTATATAGCTGGTACTGTTACTAAAACTGTATATTGTACAAAATAATAATTTCAGTGGGGATCAGTTCTAAACTCTCGTCAATGTTCCAGTAAGTTACAACCTAAACTGTTCTAGGAAAGAACTGTCAGAATCAGTATTAGGATAGTATTGACAGAATCAGATAAAGGGTGGAGTTGCCCAAAAACAATTCTATAGTAGAACTGTCTAGATTTGTGCAAGGGTAAAAATTTCAGAATCTGTTCAAGGGAAGAACAGTTCAAAATGACGTAAATGTTATTATCAAATGAAATAACCAAATAGATAAAATGTGTGATATATAAAATAAATAAAGTTGTCTAGAACTATTCTAGCGATAGAACTGTAATGGCTCTCCTATGGTAGAACTGTCATAATGAGTTATATTGTAGCACAGCTTCTGTCAGGAGTGTTTGTTAAGACTAAGATTGTCCTCCATGGGAGAAGGCTACTTTAGAAAAGTTCTGGTATTTTAAGAGAGGTTAGACCTAATTGCAACTGCATTCTAAATATTAAACATCATCAGTATCAGTTGCCAGACATTCATTTTATTGTCGTAATCGTGAGGATCTGGATGAGGAGTTATTTACCATGTTTATCTTATCATCTTTTAGATTATAGGCAATTCTTTGTTTGCTTTTTTATGTTTTGCCTCCGATTTTTTTATTCTTTATAATTTTACATCCCCTTGATCCCTATCCTTCATTTTTGTATATTGTTCACTATTATTCATTTAACTGCTCTTTGTTTTCTTTTTATATACTCATTCAGTCTTGAAATTCATTCATTGATATAAACCCAGAAAATCATATCGATATATCTAATTCCGCAAGTTACTAGTAATTAAGGGTGTTATTTTTTTACAGGTGTTTAATTTAATGATGGACAAGAAAGTTACGTACAAGAAACAGGACTATGGGTCCATTAGAAAATCTTGTTTAAAGAAAGGAGAAAATTTTAATGATACTGAATTCCCAACAAATAATAAATCAATATTCTATAGCAAAGTCGACGGTGATATTGAATGGAAGAGGCCAGGAGAATTATGTAGATCTCCAAAGCTAATAGAGGACTTCAGCGCTTTTGATTTACACGAAGGAGAATTAGGAAATATGTGGTTTGTGACAGCCATTGGTACACTGATATCGTACAAGAAAAGGGTTGAGCAGGTGTGATGAACAATCAATAAAACAAACAAAAAATCCTTATTGACCTCTATCACTTCATTGTGTACTAGAACGGTCGAATAGACATACTATGCATGATATAGGCATTGGTCGTAATTTTGCCATTTGTCTTTTTTCTTTAGTCTTTAGATTAATTGTCTATATTCCTTAAATATCAGCACGAAATTATTCTCAATTCTTTTTTCTTGTTACCCTTTGTTCTTTATTTTGTCAATTATTCTCCATTCTGTAAACACCACCAGCCTATCAAACTACTGGAAAGATGCACTCAATAAAAAATGCCCTAACTCTAACTCTTCAGCCATGAGTTAAAAACAAAGAGAAAAGAGTTCAAGTTTTTTGTTGTTGTGAATTATATTATGTGATGATTTATTTTAAAATTATAATGTTTAAACTAACCAAGAGAAATTGGAAGAAAATTAGAAGACCTTAAAAGAGCAATAGATACATTTTTTAACAAACCACAAGTCGAATTCGTGATTACTTTAAAAATCCGATAACTACTTAGACAATAAATGGGATAAAGACAACAAATTCAGCAGCCAACACAATAATAATAGCTGGAAAACTGGTACGTTCATATTAATCTATGCCGATGCAATGTGTTAAATGTATTTTCATTACACATAAACCTTCAATGATAACTTTAACTTCACAGTTTAGTCACAACCACAAAAAGCAAACTTTTTTTAAGATAACAGAATGTTCATTGCTCCATTTCGAAATCAACTCAAAAGGTTTTTTGTAAAATAAAAGGTATTCATTATACCATGCTGTACAGTCATAGTTTTGTTTTTAAAATTTCAATTGTTTTTAATAATTTATATTGATGTATCTAAGGTTATTCCAAATATCACTAAACAAGGATGGAAAGGAGTCATGGAGAAACAAGATTATGCAGGAGTATTTCAGTTTCAGTTTTGGAGGTTTGGAGAAATTATTAATATTGTAGTCGACGATAATCTTCCAACGAAGAAGGTAGACGACGAAAATCTTCCTACAAAAAGTTATAGGTTGTTGTTCTGTCAATCAAGGACTCGTGAAATATTCTGGTGTGGATTGTTAGAAAAGGCTTATGCTAAGTACGTAACAAGTATACAGTCCAATGAGAAAAAAATAATATGGTGCATCAATTCACTATACACGCACCATACTAAGCAAATTCAAAAAGGGGAAGACCATAAAAACTGACAAAATCAAACGCTATCAATGAACCGAATAAGTGAGAAAAACGTCTGCCAAATTCTGACTTGGTACAGGCATTTTCCGAAGAAAATTGTGAGTTAAACCTAATTTAATAGTCAGCTTTACCTCCCACTTGTACGCCAGGTGAGCATAGTTCAGTTATATCGACATAATGTAAACGTATGCGATGGCAATTATGAACGGTATCATATCAATGTTTTTATGAAAGTACATGCATAATTATGTCATATACATTGCATATGTAGCCGTGATATAGCCTTTTTGTGCTGATGCGGCGTAAAGCAATCACCAATCAATCAATAACATTGTATATGTGATAGGGTGGTAAGTATGGTGCGCATGAAAGTAAAAAATACAGTTTTGCTTGATAGTTTTTTAATGGTGATGCAATCAAGTAAACTATTATGTTGAGACGCGTGTTTGCTCTTAATATAACAGTCTAAACGCATATAACTTACCCGAATTGCGGATATCAGCGAGTTCTCGACTTCTAAGTATCGATCTGTAGATCAGAGTATCGCGCACCACACACATAAATGTTTCTGTTAGGAGAGTGTTCCCTTTTCTCATAAAATTGATTTTTTGTGATTGTCCCACGCATAATTAAATAATTCATACTTAAAGGGAAACTTCGCAAAAAAAAAAAAAAAAATAAAAAAAAATGATATTATGTTTATTCGATATAAATATGCACATTTGCATTAATATTAAAGTTTTATTCTCCTAAATTTGTGATCAAATTAGATTTTTAAATCCAAATATCATTTTACTACATGTCGCTATCTTGATAGCATCTCGTTACAAATAATCACGTGATATCTTAATACCACAAAGTCACAAAACAAGCCTGGCATACCGGAGTTTCATTCCCTGTCAATATGATGTAGATGTGTTTCTGGTTAAACAACTTTCTATGTAAAACATTTATTCATTCTGGGTTCTATCTTACTTGATAATCGTCATGGCTTAATAAATTAATTGCCAGAGGTCATGTCAAAGTCACACATTCGGTAATTCTAGCGAATTCCCGGCGGGCATTACATTACACAATGCGGGTATCCATGCATGATCGCCTCCCTACAGGTGTGCACAGGTAAAATTTATGAAACATGTCATACCAAATGCTGCCAGATGTAATATACATCCTATGTACAACTTTCCTATGCTGATAGTAATATACGAGATATGAATATCGAAATCACACAAATATCAAACTGAGCGTGTACAGTTAATTTAACACAGAGTCTATATATGAATGGAATGTATAAAGAAAGAAATTTATGATCATTTTGAGATGCACCAGCTGAAGATAAAGATGAGAAAGCCTATATTTAAAATAAATTAAAATTTTCTAACGGTTAAATGTTGACCAAAACATAGTATAAACTCGATGTTCATAAATAATTATGGACATTGTATTAATTTTATATAAATTACAATAGACATTCGATATTGATATATTTGACCGTAGAGCACAGAAACTTTACAATTGTTTGAAAATACACGTATAAGAGAAACATCTTGAACTTATTTCTTTTTACTAAACATGCCAATTTGACAGCTTGTTTTCTTAGCAATTATTTAAGCAAAATTGTTTTTTTACAAATAAATTTCCTTTTTAAAGGTATTTTGATAAAAATACAAACTTGTTTTTGTCCATTAGATAGAATTATCTTAAATCTAAAGTGTGGCTTTTATTCAGCTACGTTTGTCCTTTGTATCTTACTTCAACTATAAACTTTTCTGTGTATATATTTAACAGTCCGTCATTCTGTGTTATGCAGGTCAACAAACAATGACCCATTTTCTGTCTATTTCAAGTTACCGAGAGAGCGTCACACTTCCCTTTATTGTTTATTTAGCGCTTCATGTTTTAGTTATTGCACGTCAAAGAGAAAACGATCACTGTGTATATATCATATATATATAATCGTCTCACTTTTGTACATGTGCTACTAGCCACGACAAAGACACCAGTGTAATCAATATATATATATATATATATATAAGTATATGACATTGATAATGAGGGATGATAGATGGTAGGGATCGTGTAAATGTAATAAGAATATGAAACCTGCTATGTTCTAGACCTACACACTGCCTCGGATTTCAAAATGATTTAATAGTCCGCCGCAGGATGAACTCGATCCGACAAGTATTTGCTCTGGTTGTTGAATGCAATTAAATGTAATCGATTACATTAAATTAGCAAAGTAATTGTAATTTAATCGATTACATTTTGAAGTTGTCAACCCAATCCCTGACCGTAATTGACATGAGAATGCTAAAAATAAACAAACATGAGAATGCTAAAAATAAACAAACATGAGAATGCTAAAAATAAACAACCGAGGTGGTATAATTTATAATATTATAATCAGCAGGTAAAGTCTAATGCAATAAAACAACTATTGTTTCAACTTGAGAAATTATTATCATCACGGCAAACATAAACTTTTTCATGCTTTTTGGGGATAATACATGTAAGTGTCTCCGGGTTTTCCTAATTAAATGTATGGGAAGAAATTAATAATAAGCTGTATAAAAATATATTGATGATTGATAATACGAATCAATGAATATATTACATGAAGTGAAGTTAATTCTAAAAATATTGTATTGGTTAAGAAGAGGCAAGAGAGTCCAAAATAGTTATTAATAGCAATTTGAAAGCACACGTCAATGCCTCTGCTGGGTGGAATTTCGTCCTCGATGATATCAAAAGTCCATTTTTTTTGTGTTGACATGAAATGTTGTCCTGAGTAAAAATGTATTACTTTAATATTTTAACAGACTCTATGGAGACTACGAATCGTTAACAAACGGAGACGCAATAGACACACTGGTTGATTTTACAGGTGGGGTTGCTGAAAGAATTAATCTGGTCAATATTAAAGACGAAAATGGACGACAGACCTTGTTTGAAAAACTGAAAGACGACTGCAAGAATGAAGCACTTATAATTTGCTTTATTCAGGTAAACGTGATACATATATATATATATATTTGCCTTCGGGATTGTATGATCCATTCATCCTATTTTGACTCTTTCAAAATTCAAGAGTCTATCCTAAATTGAGGTAAATTATATGGCCTTCCAAATACCGTTTCGATTCCTAACATCACTGAAGTGACATTAATTGTCGAAATCCGGATATGGTGTACAAATTTTTGCACCTCATGTTTGCGGTATACCATCTTTTTCGCACGTTTATTGTTTTCTGTTTGGTAATAAATGAATAATAAGATCTATTTTGTTACATCTTGTGATCCGTTTAATTGGCAATCGCCAATGGCAGTCAGCAGGGTTTAAGAACATTTGTTGTTCGACCTGCTAGTCAAATGCGTTTTGTTAAAATATACTTTTTTACTCAGTTGGTCTTTTGGAAAATGTTGTTTGTGCTGTATTTAGACCCCTCTCCAAAGAAATTTGATTTGCATGCACAAGTTTGAAAAATGCGGTTTTTATCCAACGCAATCATAGGTTTAAACGTTGTTTTCAATTAAGACTTGTTTATATTTTTTCGTTTAGGCTTGTATTATATTTGCCTTCGGGTTTATATGATCCGTTCATCCTATTTTGACTCTTTCAAAATTCAAGAGTCTATCCTAAATTGAGGTAAATTATATGGCCTTCCAAATACCGTTTCCATTCCTAACATCATTGAAGAGACATTTATTGTCGAAATCCGGATATGGTGTACAAAGTTTTGCACCTCATGTTTGCGGCATACCATCTTTTCCGCACGTTTATTGTTTTCTGTTTGGTTATAAATTTATAATAACATCTATGTTGTTACATCTTGTGATCCGTTTATTTGGCAATCGCCAATGGCAGTCAGCAGGGTTTAAGAACATCAGTTGTTCGACCTGCTAGTCAAATGCGTCTTGTTAAAATATACTTTTGCACTCATTTGTTCTTTTGGAAAATGTTATTTGTGCTGTATTAAGACCCCTCTACCAAGAAATTTGTTTTGCATGCACACGTATAAAAATTGCGGTTTTTATCCAACGTAATCATAGGTTTGAACGTTGTTTTCAATTAAGACTTGTATATATATGTACATATACATACCATAGTTGTTACGATTGTTCAGACACTAGTAAAAGAATTTTAGACTGAAACGGTCATTTTGATCTTAATATCATCTGCACAGTCTGAAAAAAAAAGAAACGTTTAGTCTTGTTTGGAGTTTCATGTTATTTTGCATGTAATTTCTTGTAATATATTCATTACTGTTCTGACATTTTACTTGCAGTCCATTTTACTTGCAGTCCAGTTCTGTTTTGTAACATTCCAGATATTTCAGTATGTTGTTGCCTTGTACAGGTATATAACAGCTACTGAGCACAGACTTAAAAAATCTTAATTGTGCAAGCAAATGGTTGGAACATAGACTAAACAGATCCTAATTGACTGCAAGCAAATTGTTTGAACATAGCCTGAACATATCTTACTTGACTGCAAACAAATTGTTTGAACATACACTGAACTATTGAAAAAAATAGACTGAAAAGATCTTAATAGACTGCAAACAAATTGTTTGAACATAGACTGAACAGATCCGAATTTACAGCAAGGAAATTGTTTGAACATAGACAGAACATATCTTAATTGACTGCAAACAAATTGTGTAAACATAGACTGAAGAGATCTTAATTGACTGCAAGTAAATTGTTTGAACATATACCAAACAGATCTTAATTGACTGCAAGCAAACTATTGGAAAAAATAGACTAAACAGATCTTAATAGGCTGCAAGCAAATTGTCTGAATATTAATTGAAATACTAAATATGACTTACAATGTATTGTTCAGTTTTTTAAGATCTGTTCAGTTCAAAATTATCGAGTCAGTTTAAAATTGGTTTACTTGCGAAATCTCATAAATCTATTAGATAGATGGAAACCAAGGTAAAGTAGAGAGGCCGGGTACGTTGACAAGGTAAGCGTTCTTTGTCAGCTTAATTATGTATCCTTTTGATTCTAAATTGGCGATTTATACCACACGATACTAGTTTCATTAGTTACGTCCTTTGAAAATATCTTTGAACGAAAGGTCAGTTGAGATTAAAAGAGTAATACGCATAATATTTTCGTGCTCGAACAACACTCTAATAAAGTAAAAGAGTTTAAGGTAAATACAAGGTAGTATATCATAGTGTATGATATATATAAAAATAAGGAGATGTGGTATGATTGCCAATGAGACAACTGTCCACCAAAGTTAAAAAAAAATTGGATGTAAGCAATTATAGGCAACAACACGGCCTTCAACAATGAGAAAACCCCATACCGTATGGTGGGATATAAAATGCTCCGACATGAAAAATATGAAACAATTCAATTGAGAAAACTATCGGCCTAATTTATAACAAAACAATTTACCGAAAACAAATATGACAGACACGAACCAACGACAACCACTGAAATACAGGCTTCAGACTTGGGACAGCCACATACAGAATGTGGCGGGGTTAAACATGTTTGTGAGCGCTCAACCCTCCCCTAATCTGGGACAGTGGTGTAACAGAACAAAAAAAGAACAAACTATAAAAATCAGTTGAAAAAGGCTTAACTCATTAGATGGATACAAATAGAAATACATTTAACAAAAACACAAAGTGGACGTGGACGGGTACTTATACATATTTATACGATACTGAATCATAAAATAAAATGTAAACGACGTGTGAGTAGTGACTCGCATTTTACCTTCTTGATAGAATGTCTCGAATAGACGCGGTCATTCAAGACACGGGAAATTTCTGCAATTTCTATAAGGATAACAACAAAGAGGTTTGAAACATCAGATGTCCTCTTTTTCTAATAAAAAAAAACCAACATTTTTATGGACACAGATATGAATCCTGATATGTCCTTTTGCCTCCCATTGACACAAATTATATTAAGTTCTTTGATTATGTGTCACATAAATATCAAAATTTAAAATTAAAATTATGAAATACTTTTAAAGAAAACTATCAAATTCCATTCGTACTTTATTTGGCTTTAACAAACAAAAAATGATTTGAGCGTCACTGATGAGTCTATTGTGCACGAAAGGCGCGTCTGTCGTACATAATTTTAATCCTGGTATTAATGATGGGTTTCATAATGTATTTGTTTTGTAACATTACCGAAGCAATTTTAGAAAAACGAACAGAATGCTCAATAAGCTCTAAGTAACAATGTAAGCCCCCAAAACAGTGACACAATTCCCAATTTAGAAATAAGTAATATATAAAACAAAGAAATATATTTTTTTCAGGTTAAACCGGGTGACAAGCGTGGACAAGAATTACCCCAAGGCTTCGTTCTCGGGCATGGCTATAGCGTTACTGCAGTAAAAAAAATAATGAATGGCCAGGGAAATAGTAAACTATTGATGATTAGACTGGCTAATCCGTGGGGAAAGGTGGAATGGAATGGTCCATGGTCCGAAACGTACGATTTTATAATGTTTATTCTTTCAGTTTTACCAACACACAATATGCATCTCTAGTGAAAATTAAAATTTCAATATTCGGTGGATTAAAACCCTGCCCTTCACTACCTTGAGTCCTGGTCCCTATAATGATAAATTATAGAGCTCATGCAATTTTACCATTGATATTAAAGACAAGGGAGTTATCGACCACTCGCTGGATTGAGAATTTAACCTTATATACATCTTACATTGTAGTAGACTCTGCTAATATTAGTATTGTTTATTGAATTTTCTATGTACAACATATATAACTTACGTATTCGGTATTTTCTTATAGTATCAACGAAAACATACTGAGTAGACTACATGAATGAACAGTACATAATACTAAAAATTGCAATAAATTATACAATATACAATGAATACACACCTGTTAATCCTGTATTCCATTGTTTGTAGTTTAGTTTAAATATAGGCAATCTGTACCCGCTACCACTTAACAAAAAACAAAATCCCTCAAAGGAAAAATTCAAACCCGAGAAAAACCACTATTTAATACCATGTATATAACACTTATTTTGTTCCGTTAACTACAAAAATCACACAATTGTGTCTTCAATCAATCTGCGTGTCTGGTATTTTTTTAGCAGACGGAACTTCTTGCCATTGCATTGCATACATTTTAAGGTGTTCTTCATTCATATGTTGTCATACGTATAAAGTAAACACGACATTACACAATGTTTTGTTTCGGGGTTTTGTACAGTTCCATTAAAATTGGTCTTCCTCAATTGTTGTATTTTTCATTTTCTGGGCTACCACAGTAAGATATTATTGCTGTTGTGAGACGAAATATACAACACTTCATGTGTCTGATAATTGGTAAATAGTTATGGTTCTAAAAAAAACACGTTTAATGAATTGGGATATCGGCACCACACTCTTATATTATGTTTCGAAAAAGAATTATGCAGACGACGACTTCAAAAGAAGTTAAATGTCTTATTTATTTTTTTCCAGATCAAGTGAATGGCAAAAAATGGGTCCATCACAAGAAGCTGAACTGCAATTCTCAAAAGACAAAGGAGAATTTTGGTAAGAATGAACAAGTTTATATTAAATAATGGTGTTTTATCTTTTAAAAAAAAAGAGCCGAACAAAAACAGTGGAAAACTGAAAACAAAATAGCAGATAAAATACTTCATGTTTAAAATGTCATCAAAATATAAGTCTTTTAATGGACTTCTTCAACAGTGGGTGTGCTCCTACATTTTACTCTTATATACTCCAACAGAGTTAGGAGGAAGAACGACTGAAATCGACACTACGTTGGTTTAACGGTCACCATCACGAATTGGTTAACCGATACGATTTGTCAGTATCTCAACATAAATAGCGACATGTGTTCGTCCTCTTAAAACTTTGAATACATAGCCGATGATGCAAGAATAGCAAGAGACGCTTACCCTTTCAATGCAACTGGTCTAGCTCCTTTTAGAATATTTGCAGTTCCCCCAGTTTGTGTGTGTTACCTTTGTTTGTCTTTTTAATCTATTTGCGAGATTTGGACATCGGTAAAATACAGGCATATGCATTATCATTCTATAGGACAACGTTACCTGTGTAATCGTGAACAAGGATTTAGACACTTAATCCTTGACATGTCTTTTGAATCAGTCGATTTATAGGAGTCGAATGTATAGTAGAAGATTTTACAGAGGTAATTACTGGTCGAACATTGTAAGGGCTGTTCATGGTCGTTAGAGACTCAATCTGAACAAAAGGAGATTTTAGGTATATGTCAATGTCAACAGTAAACACAACCACAAAAGTATCTAAACGACTCCGAGATTGCAACTGATCATAGAGTCTTTAGCAACAAACAGATAACTATGCAATAACGGTGTCAACAATTGTATCTATCAAAAGTGAGGCTACAATGTAAGGATACAAAAGGGATATTCAAACTCATAAGTCGAAAACAAACTGACAATTCCATGGCAAACATCTAAAAACCCACGAAAAGACAAACAAACGTACCCAAAACACACATGACAAAAACCCAAGGACTAACTCGAATCCCACATAAAACTGGAAGTTATCTCTGATGTGCAGATCCTGCTCAACTTGTGGCACCCGAAAAGAATTTCGATCCATATGATAAATAAGTCCGTCAATAGCGTTCGTTTGCCCTGTCCGTATATTTCATGTACACCTAAAATAATACCAGGACATTGCGATTAGTGACCAAACGGAATGTTCATGTATACTTTTCAGCAGGGAGTTTTAGTATTTGTATTGTCATTTCATGATATCAAGCAATGACTTAGGTGAACAGTTTTCTCTGCTTGCAATAGCTCTTTGTATGATCCCGTATTTGTTTAACTACTTGGTTTCCGTCTATAGAACTTTTACAGTGATCAGCTGCACAGTATCAGAGTGGACCAGACATCGCTTATCGACTATTGAACAGCGATATACTACTGTTGCCTTTATTTATCTTTCTGGAGAACTTAAGTTTGTCTGTAGTTTTATTTGGGTGTATGTTTACCACTTGTCATTCCATCAACTTCTAAAACGTTCGGAAATATTATATTGGTTTTATCTCTCTATTAATAATCGTTTCTTCATTCTATTACGACTTTGGCAATAGCTGTGTTATATAGTTATATATCACTGTCCGTCCGCTGTCACCTGTAATACTTAACTCCTAAATTTGTCCTAAAATTGCAGAAATTCATTCCCGTCATACATTTCAAGAGTTATCCCCTCCCCAATTTAACATGCTACAGACTTTCGTTTGACATGTAATGCCTTTAATATTTGTATAAGTTATCATGTTTCCTGGTTTACATCGATCAACATAAAAGCTGGACCCAAGCTGGAGTAATGAGGAAAACGACTGAAATTGATGCTACATTAGTTTAACAGTCACCATTTAAGAATTGAATGCTTCTTTTTGTAAATTTTTTGGGGTGTAAAAGTGTTGACCGAAGTACATTTTTTATGAAGCGCGGAAGCGTTTCATTCTAATAAATGTGCACACGATCAACGCTTTTACAAACTTAAGTCTTAAACGGTCATTTTGATCTTGACATCATCGGAAACGTCTGGACAATAAATTATTTACTCCAATTCAGACTTTCAGTCAATTTTCAAATTTATCTTCTGTGTAAAATTCAGACAACTTGCTTGCATTCATTTCACTTTTGTGCAGTAGCCTGCCAGACAATTCAGTATTTGCTGATGTTTAAAGATAAACGGCAAGTATTTAACAGTCTGAACATAGACTGAACAGTTTGAACCTAGGCCGAAAAGTCTGAACATAGATTGAACAGTCTGAACATAGATTGAACAGTCTGAGCATAGATTGAACAGTCGGAACATAGACTGAACAGTCTAAGGATAGACAGCTGAACAGAGTGAACATTTAACATATTTTAATTGACTGCGAGCGAACAGATTCTCTCGCAGTGGATAAATATGAATATTGATTGAAAGACTGAAAATAACCGAACAACCTCTTCTGTTCAGTCTTTTAAGATCTGTTTAGATCAAAATGACCATTTCAAATCCAAATCGGTTTACTATTGTTGGAAGACGGAGATGCGACACACAAAAATAGGTCTCCTCATTCAGAAGAACATATAGCATTACATGTACTTACTTACAGGAGGAACGACGTAATTGGCCACTATCGTATATTACCATTTTATTTCTTTTGATTTTTAAGTATGTTCAATTTCGAGGTATATATACTGTTACTAATTCAATTTTTAAATTATCTGAAAGACAGTTATTATTCAACAGGATGGCGTTTGATGATTTTTTAAACCATTTAACAAATGTTGACATATGCCATATTGTGAAGCCATCGAACGAACTTATACGGCATTCTGAGTGGACAGGTCGTTCGGGTGGTTGTGACTATAAATCACAGTCATTCCTAAGCAACCGACAGGTACATTTAGTAAAATATAATGATTTGTATTATCTCATTTGGTCAAAAGGACAAGAATGAACTATTGCTATCATCTTTCATTCGTGTTGTCATCTCGGCTAGGTCTAAAAGGACAATTATTGCAAACCGCATCAGGCGTGTTCACTGTAGAGTCGTGGTAAATTGAACGTGGGTCGCAAATCAGGCCGCTACATTCAATAGTCATTTATTTTAATTTCTCAACATATGCAATTAATTTAATCATTTTCACAAAAACGTCACGAATTAATGATTAGGGAATATACAAATCGGTTGACATGTTTCATATTACTAGGGCCAATAAGTTCTACCCCATGATAAACCACAGTGTCACTTTTTTTCTGCATCTACTTTATCAAAATGAAAAGATGTTGTCTGATTGTCAATCCTACAACTTTCCATCAGAGACCACACAACATCATGTAAACGATCAATCGCCCTAGGACCACCAACAATGCGCAATAAAAATACCGTATAGTTAGCTATAAAGGGACCCGAAATGAAAACATGAAAAATAATTTGAACGAGAAAAAAACCAGCCCTAATTAACGATTAATGAATAAACAACAAAAACAACAAATTAATTGTCAATCTGAATCAAACTTTTTTTAGCAGTGAACATCAACGTTTTTTTTTTAATCGATTCATTTTGATTGGACAATATAACAATGGCTGTCAGATGTAATACATGTATTGGTACCGATTGGTTAATTGTTGAATTTATTCTGCTGTAAAACGACAAAATTGTACTTGAACAAATGAAAACTTAAAAGTATCTATGAATGTTTATTAGAAATATGCTACTATAAGAAATCATAATATTTCATGGATGAGGTGATACACAACTTATGCCGACAATAAGATGATATGAGATTAATTCAATCCTTAGAGAATATATGATTCTGAATTTATGTATACCTAGTCTTTTGTGAAAAAAAAAATTATTCTGAATCGAAAAATGATCCCAATTAAATTGTACTATGATACTTTTCAATTGAACGTCTTTATTGTTTAAATTGTGTTGTTTAGCTGTTTTCTCCTTGACGTTCTGAGTCATCGTCTATATTTATGATTCATGCATGTCTTTTTTCATTTTTTTACGTAGCAACTTTACACATACTTTTGTAGTTTATCATTGAAATACAAAAAGACGAAGATGAACTCGTTGTGTCCCTGGAGCAGCATGATATCAAACCAAACAAATCGCATACCGGAAGAACATTGAATACAATTGGATATTCGATTATGAAGGTATATAATTATGAGTTTTTTTTATGTTTGCATTCCTGCTTCTTTCTGAAAATAATCTTAAACTACTACCCCAGGGTTTAATTTTGGGAATGTCTAGCACAGACAAGTTTGTTATAGTATAACATGTATAAGGTAGGACTGAGTACTCTCCATATTTATCCAGACCCGGTAATACGAATCCTCCTGTCTGAAGTAAGAAATAATTTTATTTTGGTAAATATTTGTAATTTACGGTCATTAGAAAATATGATGTTCATACATGTAGGTCAAACGTAACATGTTTTACTCTCACAATCACTGGTTGGCCAATACAATGACTCTGTTTTTGAACTTACTAGCAACACGTCTTACTGTATTAGATCTTATTATAATATCTTCTAATTTAACTGTTTTACTGTTTGACTTAAGATCCGAGACGAGTCTTATGTTGACGAAACGAGCCTGTGCGTTTGGCGTAACAAATTCTAATATCTTTCATGTGGTTTTTATAATAAATGCGTCCAAATCACTTATCTGGTTTTACCATTATCAGTAACGCTCAAACCCAAGCATTTGAAGCATTGAATGTATAAATAAGTAGATATGTTAGAAGCTATTTAACATAAAAAGAAGAGTAAAATTCAGCAAAGGTGAAATTTACTTGAGTGAGAGTTGGATCTTTAGTGTTATCCAATTTTCTATATATAATAACGGGGAATTGTAGACAACAAATATTAAAATTAATGGAGAAAATCATCAAACTTGAATTTGAAGAAGGGACGACTCCGAATTGTTTTATTAACAATTAGTTTTCAATTTTCATTTTCTCTTTTCCATTGATATATACTATGAAGATGTTGAGGGGTGATCAAGAAAATCATCTCACTGTTAAAAAACGAGGAAACGTTTCGATTTTAAATCACTAAGTGACAGTAACTGTTCTACCTTAACGATACTTGATAGAGTTTGCTTATACATAAATAAGAAACAGAAAATAAGAAAAAAATACGTTGTTAAGACTTAATATTAAAATGATGTGGAAATGATTAATGTTTAGAATTAAAATTGATTCATAAGAAAATATAAAATACCAACAATAATTTTATACAATTACTTTGAATATATTAAATAAATATTCACTACTGAGCAAAACATTGAAGTTGTAAGACCTACAAAGCTGTATGTTTTGTTGTAAAGGTTGAAGAGAATAGATTGTACAGATTACACATACCGGGTAAACTTATTGAACCACCCGATATGATCAAAACTAGGAGTGTATTTGGAAAAAAAGTGTTGTCCAGGGGCAGATATGTAATCATACCATGTACCAAAGATCAGAAAGAACATGGTCCATTCCTGTTGCGACTGTATACCCACGGTAAAGCTAGTGTAAGGTATTTATCAAACATAAATAAACGTTATTTTATTGATTTTGTATTGAATTTTAGTTAAATGGTATTTAACATTTCTGAATAACAAATCATCAAGTAATATAAGATTTTAAGATTGTTATCCGATACCGTCTATACGAATGTTTTTGCATTGAGTTTCGTGTATGTTGTTTGTCGTTTCATGATCTTGTGAGATATATATTTAAATGGACAGCAAAGTGTTTGAAAGCATTAACCTTTTATGTTACCAAAATCTCTGCAGTTTCTCGAAAAAATGTAGCTTTTCGTGACGTTACGCCCATATGTATTGTAAGGTCATGGGTAAAAAATCTACTGGTTTTTTTTGTGCATTTTAGTAAAATTTTAGACCAAATAAGGTTCTTATCGATGCTATTGCACCCGTTTAAGCGAACAAAAATATTAATAGATTGAGAAACTTTGACGAGAAATTATGTAACTAAAAAGGGTAAAAACAAATAAAAAAGAACAAAAAGGAGTTTTCATTTTTATTTAAAAGGAGTAAAAGTCTGATATCAAAAATGTGTTTTCAATAGCTTTTATGTTGTTTTTTGCTTGCGTGGTTGCCTGAAAAGGGGGAGTAAAAACCCATACATTAAGCAAAGGCAAAACACTTTTGTCTAAAGTAGAAAAAAAGAACAGAAATGATTGTGCAACAAGATCCCTATGAAAGCTGGTGGTGAACTCTAGTGTTCCTGAAAGGTCAACATTTCCTGTATTCTTGAATTTGTATACATTTTTATATAACATGGTCCATGAAATCTTGTAGGCTATTTTTCTGTTGGGTAGGCTTATCATACATGTTATACCTTTTAACAACACAGCAGAAAATGACATGTTCAAAAATGTTAATTACCGTCGTCTACTGATTGTTGTCATTACCTGAACATTCTACATTTAGTGTAAAAATTAAAATAAAATAAATCACAATTTAACGGATATATACACAAATATGCTTTCAAAATGCTCTGTTATACCAGCACAAACTTGATCAAAACCTTCATTGTTTACCATACCGCAATGAACTTGATTTAAACGATTATTGAAAGATATCCGAATATGTGTATTTTAGTTTGCAGTACACGTATTTATTATTAATCGATTATCTGTCAGTCAATCAAATTTATTTTGTTTACACATTTAACAACACCATACGGTGATTTTTTCGCGTGTATTTTCCCATTCAGCGAAAATTATACACAGCGACAGTTTAACTTGCCCATTTTGTCATCAAATCACGAAAAAAAGCCGACGCGAAAAAAAACCCGATATACGCCGGGTATATATATGTGTGTGTGTGTATTCTTACAATTTAGTTTTTCTTTGCTCTTTCAAAAATAGTGAATCTTTTATGAAAATGACCACTCCATCCCCATAAGTGCAAAAGTGTATGAAAGCAATAAGTATCGTCAGAAGTTTTCTACCATAATTGCCCAAAGTGTGACTAGGGTAAAGAAATATGGTTACATTTAGTCTTCTTTCGACCTGCAGTAAAACTTTTGCCACAGTGGGGCGTTCGTTTTGCTGTGCTGGATGTATAAGTACGAATCCACGGGTAAAAATGGGTGCCGGGCAAACTGTACAAACTATTGTAGTAACTCTAAAGGTACGAAGGTGGCCCGTTGCAAGGCTAAATTTCAGTCCCTATCCAATTTATCTTAGTTTTTCTATAGCATTTCAAATTTCCCTCCTGTCTTTCAGGTCGACGTTATCTTGCAGGACATACCTATTGTATGGATTGTTAATTTGTTTTCGTCCTAGGAAAATATTTACCACTGGGCGTTAAGCATACAACAATCAATCACAAAAGTTATAACGTTACTATTGTATTTCCGATTCCGTCGTTTAACGAATTAACTCTGCGTGTGTTTATGCTGCTACATGCAAATTTCAAATTATTTTCTTTTTCTTGTTCATCGTTCATTAGTGCTTTATAAAGTTATCGAATGAAGGTTAGTCAGGTTTTAATTGTCGGAAACACAATATCATTATAAGAAATGATGTATTCAGATTTAGATTGTAACCAGCAGTCATTTTTCCTGTGACAATAATTTGAACACTTATGTTGCTCTGGTTTTTATGTTTTAATCGAAAGGTGTAAGTCATTCCTTTTATAACTTCTTGTTGACAGTTTTCTGTAACTAGCAATACTCGTTTCCAATTGGCTTGATTTCAACACGTCATATAACTCTGCAAAAAAAAGAAGCCTATTGAAGGATGAACAATCAAAAACATTTTTATAAACAATCAAAAAATATATGACACTTATTAAATATAAAAAAATGCAGAAAAAGAAAAATGTTTATCGTGTTTATTGACATGACGTTGAAACGATGTAAGGATTCGGAACAAAACATGTAGAACCTCACATTTTCAAAGCCCTATTATTATATCGTTATCATGTTTTGTCAATAAGCTACTGTTGTCTTTTTAATTTACTTGTAATCATTATTACATGTTTGCAAATTCAAAGGGAATTAACTGAAGAAGGGCCTTCGACAATATGGCCTTGTTTAAGTTTGCCATCGATGGTTACAACACTTGCCGTGTTGAGTTTAGAAAATATTCAAAAACCAGAAGGATCAAAGGACGAAGGTATGAAAATATGTAATTAAAGATTATATATAACTTTTTTTCGGAACGTTATCTATTACCAATGTATTCAACCGTAATGTTATAGTCCAGTGATACGCTTGAAAATTATTTTTCACACAATTACAAAATGTTAAGGGCAGGGTTCAAACAGTTGTTCTCATCCAGATTTAGTGACTAGTATGGAACTTAAGTTTTCCTTTTTTTTTTATGGAAACCTTTCCTACTCCCACTTATTTACTCTAACTGCTGTTGAAATTACCAGTAATACTTATGAACAGATCGAAATACATAGCATTGAACATTATTCATCTAAAGATTATAAAAGTGATAATGAAACAATGCAAAATATGAAGCTTGCATTGTTGAGTAAGTAGGGTCAAATTCCATTAATTGAGGAGATTTGACATACAATAAAGAAGATTGGTTCTATAAAAATACATGTGTTTGCTGGTCTATAATATTTACAGAACTTTATGAGGCTATGCAACTTGACCACGAATTTACCTCTGACGCTTTTAAATATAAGAAAAAAAAATCTGAATAATTTATCTTACCGCTTACACATTTTCATATTAGCGACTTTTGACTCCGGAGTATAAAATTTTTCGGCTTGTTACCTTTCATATGGTAGGACATTATGGTACTTGTACTCAGTCAAGTAAAAAACTAAAAGAAGGAAAATCAAGCATACAATCGGTACAATTTAGGGGGAGATTCGCTGTTTTGCAATGATTTTGTCGTGTATAGAAAATAGAAAAAAAAAATCTTCTAAATTGCACCGATTGTTAGCTTAATTTTCTTCTTTGAATTGCTTTTTCTTAATCGAGTACCATAATGTCCTACCACAGAATAGGGAAGCCTGTCGGAAAATTAAATACTATTGAGTCATAAGTCGGTAATAGGAAAATAGTCTATTGCACCGACTTCATCTTGAACCAGAATTTAAACAGGAAGTGTAAGTGATAACGAATTTAAATGTTTATTGACTAACACACTTATCACCAATGTTTACGACATGACGCACACACGTCAAAAAGGTGGAGAAAATAAAAAGAAAGTATTCAGAAGAAACACGGAAGGTATTTTCTTCATAGGATAAAGTTGATAAATCACCAGAAATACAATAAAACAATGTAAAACTCTTAACCCTAACCTCTTAAATTCGGAACAGTTTTAGATATTTATGCGGTACAACTTAACTATAGTATATATATGTAACCTTTCTATCTGTTAAGACACCTGGAAATTCATTCATTCATTAAGATTTTGTACACAAATTTTATTGTAGATTTTACTCCAAAAATTGTGGTACAATGTGAAGGTGAAAAGGTTGTATCAAGAATTCCATTAGCCCTCAACGAGAAAAATGAATGGGAAACTAAATCCGACTTCGAACATGTTAAAGTTACATTTTATCGTAAAAAGCCGAATGAACCTATAATTATAGAGGTATGTTAGTTATATTTATTGTATTTGAAATCCAAAATATACTATCACGAGCGTACATGATGAAGGACAATCCGGAAACACATGTCACTTATATCAGGCGCAATTACAATCGGTACATGCCAATATTTTTTACAACACGTCGTTCCGTTGACTGCGTGTAATCAACGAATATCAAATTTGAAAAGTTATCTTTAACATCTAATCCAATATCAAAATTGGTAACCTAGGACAGAAATGAATCCACAGTAGTGTACAACTGTATAAGATTTATTTATGCCAGCAACAAAATTAACATAAAGATCATATTGAACGTTTCCAAAGTCTTATGCTGTTGATTTATCTAGGGAGTGAAACAAAATAAATGAAACTTGTTGATACATATCACGTATCAACCTCACAAATGATACATGATGGTCTTGGAGTATAGATTCTAGGTACTGACGTTGTTTATCATCTTAACTACCCTTTTTTGTATATTTTACACCTGTACTGTTTAGTCCATTTTGATAATATCCTTTTGGCGTGGCTCGGTATTTAAACATCTTGCCATTGTGTTATTGTGCTATGGTCATTTTTTGTATTCTTGTCTTTCATTTTTGCCTATGTGCTATGTCTATAGAATGTCTACTTGCCTTTTCATTTTTATTTTTTGACATAGTTGTTTGTGTTATAGTGGTTAAGATTATAACATAATTTTGACTGCTGTATCCCAATTTTTGACATGTCTACCTATTATGTCTATTTGTTTTGTTGATACATTGAGGTCAATATAATGGATAGCTATGCGACTGTCATACAAGTGAGAGGTTAAGCTAGCTATAAAACCAGGTTTAATCCTTGATTTTTTTACGTAAGGAAATGTCTGTTCAAAGTCAGGAATATGACAGTTGTTTTCCATTCGTTTGATGTGTTTGAGCTTTTAATTTTGCCACTTGATAAAGGACTTTCCGTTTTGAATTTTCCTTGGAGTTCGGTAATTTTGTTATTTTACTTTTTAGACATTAGTCGGACAAAACACTATACATTACTAGATGTACCACAAGCAAGGCTCGTTAATTGATGTCCAGGCCTTTGCAAAATTAAGGCTTTTCTAAAGAAAACCCCAAGAATAATTATATTGAATAAAACAAATATTAAGGTGCAGATCGGCATTATACTGTGAAGGTTCTGAGAATTTTATTTAAATTTTAAAATGGGTTTAGTAGGAGAAACGGATTTCAATGTGTAATTTATTGTGATGCTATGATAACATCCATTTTGTGCAAAAGTAAACCCCAAATCCGGGTGGAAGAAAAATTCAAATGAGAGGTAAAAAAAACAACATCACAAAATATATTCGAAGTTTCAAACAACTCTGTCCAGCAGTTCAGGAGCAAACATTGATGCAAAAGCAGGACGGGGCCTCGGTGATCGAGTGGTCTGAGTAGTCGAACTATTGTATCACTAGCCTCAACAATAAGGTTGTGAGTTCGAATCCCGCACGTGGCAGGTGCGCTCGACTCCAATCTCAATTGACTAAGATTGTCAGTTTTCCTGCCGAAGGTCTGTTGTTCTCTCCGGTCACTCCGGATTTCTCAATCAACAAAAACTGACCGCAACGAAATATTGCAATAATGCTGCGTTAAACACCAATCAATCAGTCAATCAATCAAAAGCAAGAAAGAAAGATGGGGGACGCTTTCATCACTATATAACGACCCCTTCAAGAGACTTTGAGTATAAAAAAATCGTTTTATATGTACAAATCTTCTTTCAGGTATTAAATAGGAATAAGATAGTTGACGATTTTTGTTGTCAAGCAAGGGTTATCGATAATGGTGGCGAAGAGGGCACATCTGTCAAATGCGACGTGTTTGGAAGAAAGAAAGAGAAATACATTAAGAAATCGGGATTCATTCATGTTTTTGTTCAGTCGAGTCCCGATCTACAATTTTTGTAAACTTTTGTATTTATTTCATCGTTTCGATTATGTATCACAAATACAGCATCGAAAAGCACATTCACTGCTGAGATATTTTTTATATAATTTTCTCTAATTCCGTATGCAATTAAAGTGGTTTTGACAAACCACATCGTTGATTATATTTGTCTCATGTAATTTCCCGTCAAATTTATTTGGAAACATTGCACCCGGCAGTGTCTATTACTTCACTAAAGAAAGAGATTTAACAACTGCAAAATTTAGTCACTCTTGATAGTTAAATTTCAAACTGTTACTATCTCGTGTGGGTATAACTGCAAGTAATGTTTAAATATTAATTTATTTAATTTTATCAAGCTATGTTATAAGTATTGATAACTTATAACTAGCAATATTACAAGCTATTCCAAAATAAGTACCCAAGTGAAGTGGAGTAATGCTGGGGGATGGTATACAATACTAAAGAGATTTATCCTGCTGAACTGACTTTAAATAAAGCTAACACTAACAATGAACAATGCCCTTTCCTGGCTCTTGATATCTATATCTTTAACGGGAAGTTTAATACCAAAATTTATGATAAAAGAGATGATTTTTCATTTCCTATTGTTAATTATCCATTTTTAGAAGGTGACGTTCCCTTGTCGCCATCTTATGGTGTTTATATATCTCAACTTGTTCGATACGCTCGTGTATGTAACAACGTATTTGATTTTGACCAAAGAAATCTCTGTATTACTGAAAAATTATTACACCAGGGTTTTCGATATCACAAACTAGTCAAAACATTTACTAAATTTTAGCATCGGTACAAGGACATTATTCGTAAATATAAATCAACATGCAGACATCTTATACGTTCAGGTATTTCACATCCAATATTTTATGGCAATATTCTTTACAAAGCACAAAAATATCGGCATTCACCTCAAAAGTTAACCAAACCTTTAAACAGATTTATTCAGAAGGGATATAGTTACGATACTGTTGTCAGGTCATTGAAGATGGCATATTTCGGTATTAATATTGATTCACTCATAGGGTCTTTGCATCGGAAATAAACACATTTGTTCTAAAACCAGTTGTTGGCATGATACGGGTTATGTTCTTCTCATATATTTTATGATGGTATGATAATAAACCCCCTAACGGGAGGGATCGTGCATGATTTTCATAGGATGAAGACAAAATCTTTTAATCAGTTTAAATGAAGTCTTGAGCTGGCATGTCAGTAACTGCTAGTAGTCCTTTGTTAATTTATGTATCATTGTCATTTTACTTAGTTTCATTTGTTACCTATTCTGACATCGGACTCGGACTTCTTTTAAACTGAGTTTTACTGTGGGTATTGCTGTGTGTTTGTTTATTCTACATTGGCTAGAGGTATAGGGGGAGGGTTGAGATCTCACAAAACATGTTTAACCCCGCCGCATTTTAGAGCCTGTCCCAAGTCAGGAGCCTCTGGCCTTTGTTAGTCTTATATGTTTTTTTTTTTAATTTTAGTTCATTTATATGTTTTGGAGTTTAGTATGACGTCCATTTTCACTGAATTAGTACACATTTTTATTTAGGGGCCAGCTGAATCCAGCCTCCGGGTGCGGGATTTTCTCGCTGTGTTGAAGACCCATTGGTGGCCTTCAGCTGTTTTCTGCTCTTTGGTCGGGTTGTTGTCTCTTTGACATATTCCCCATTTTCATTCTCAATTTTAATAATTGCCTTTTCATATTGGTCAATACCTAGTTTTATCTACCAAAAATAGTATTTCAAATGAGGATGCTGTACGAAGGTAATATAATTTCTTTGGTTTATAAAGATATGCATATATATATCTATATATTTATTGATCAATATGAAAAGGCTACACTGTTTTATTATAAATGTATATAATTAAAAAGATAAACCAACTTTTAAAAGAAGGATCATATACTATATCCTTTATTTTAATCCATTTATATTCTCTTTTGCTCTTATGTTAATATGGGCTACCTCCCCAGCCAATCTCCAATCAAATACTACCTATTTGAAACTGGAATTTATTATATAATTTGGTACATTAGATGGTCAATAATTATCAATTCTAGTAATTATACTATAAACAATATATTAAAATGACAAATTGTAGGTTTTAGATATTTTATCATAACAAATATCAAAGTATTTGCCAGTAATTCAAAGTAATCATTATTAGTATTTTTAAGTAATATCAAGTATTCCAAAACATATATTTAAAGTGTTTTCAAAGTAACATCACAAGAAAAAGCTTTTCATCCAAAGCTTGTCCCATTCCCTGACACCTACATGTAACATAGACAGTAAGTCATAATACCTACAGCTACTTTTTTTTATGACATACATTGGTAAAGACTTTCAATTGTTACATTGCAATCTTATATTTTATATCACTTATCACAAGCTTTAGAAATTTCAAGAAAGTAGTATACAAAAAGAAACCTACATGCATCATATCGGGGGTCTTGTATGATAATCAGCGTTCTCCCCACGACTTTTACATATCATTCTGGTTAAAAGGGAATTATTAAATACCATCGTCTTTCTAGAATTTATTACATCCATATCACAATTTACCAGAAAATTCTTTTAGATAGCATCACATCCTAGCAATATAGCTTCAAATTACCAAGATGCCAAAAGGCCATTGGGAGAACACTGTGCTTGGCTCAAATGCATGAGATCATGAGTTTAGTTTCCAGCAGATCCAACAAAAGACTTGAAACTTGATATTTGCTTGTCTGTGCTAAGCTTAAGTTACAGCAGATTGGGCAACTGAGAGTCAGAATAATCTGTGGGGGTGGAGTGACTTTTATTTCTGTTGTCTGTAACCTTTTATCACTTGCATGATAGGGATTTATATATTTGACATTTGAAAACAGGAGACAGAAGAATAACAACATGCAAATGTTAGTTAATCATGAATATAAAAGAGAGGCGAAAGATACCAAAGGAATATTCAAACTCATAAGTCGAAAACCAACTGATAATGCCATCGCAAAAAACGAAAAGGGACGAACATACAACACAACTGTTCACAAAACACAAAATAGAAAAGTAAAGACTGAGCAACGCAAACCCTAACAAGAACCGGGGGTGATCTCAGGTGCTCCAATTTTTTATATAAATGAGTCATTTATTTATTTAAATCATTATATACATGTAGTTTAAAAGTAACAGGAATCTGGAAATCTAGTCAGCTAGCTAAGTACCAAACACTAAATGAATTCCGTAATACCAATTCACGGTGAAAGGTAATCTTCACCGTAGACGCAATATTTATTTTATAAATTGTAAAATTATGGAGTAAAATTCAATTGTAAGCATTATCAGTAATTTACCTTATCCTAATCAAGTTAACAACTGTATGTACTGGAGGTTATATATGAGGGCATCATGAATAAAGGCAACAGTAGTATACCGCTGTTCGAAATTCATAAATCGATTGAGAAAAAACAAATCCGGGTTACAAACTAAAACTGAGGGAAACACATTAAATATATGAAGAGAACTACGACACAACAGAAACACAACATTAAAATGTAACACACACAGAAACGAACTATAATATAACAATGGCCATTTTCCAGATCATTTTAATCATACATTATTGAAAAGCATCTATTTATCTGTAAAATATGGCAAGCTCTAAATCATGTTGAGTATATAGAACTTGTGTATAAACTTAACAGAAAAATGATTTTTTTTATCAAATTTCCATAATCAATCTGTGTATTTGTGATGAAATTTGGAAAATAATATTTTCATTGAAATCCGAACCATCACAGGCAATAAAACCACTAAATTAAATGGCTATAGAGATAAATTATAAAACGTTACTAGTTTTGAATATTTCCCGGATTCACATTCATTTCTGTTATCTTGGTACACATAAATTCATTATAGATAATATACTAGGATTACAGTTTGTACGCCAGACGCGCGTTTCGTCTACAAAAGACTCATCATTGACGCTCAAATCAAAAACTTTGTAATAAAATATCTAGCAAAAACAATCCAACATACGGCACTTAATTGTCCCTTTTTATCTACATGGATATCTAATTTTGAATCTCACTAAAAGATTGTAAAAAATCAACATAATGTTAGAAAGTTTCTCTCAGCAAATAGTAAAAATTTGTTTTTCGAAAACTAAGTATAAAGTTTATAGTATAAAACACATAACAAAACATATCACCATTCATAATTAGCAACAAAAAAATGTTTTATTATATTACGATTCAGTCTGAAGGATAAACACAAACTTCAAATTTACTGCGTTATTGGTGTTTTTATTTTGTAAACCAAATGAAGCAAATTGGTTAAATAACAATTGTTATTGACGTCGTATTCTTGTACGGTTTTGATTATATAACACAGAAGTTATTAGATACTGAAATAGTGAATTGATTGTCGGAGAGCAACACGTTTTAAATTCTATTCTTGAGTATGATTTAATGGGCGTAATTAATAGGCTCAATGCATGAAAAATTATATATATATCGGCTTACCAGAATAAATTTCCATATTCTTTCAAGAACATTTTTAAAATACTTGACTTTCAAATAATGGAAAAACACATTGTCTTGTGTTAACTTATTTTGAGAAAGCAGTAAAATGACTGTAACATGTGCATTGATTTATGTAAAAAAATATTGAATTTTACTACTGCAATTACTTTATGTCATTTTGTTATACTGTGTCCTACAAACCGGTAGAACTGGTTGTAAAAGGATGATGTTATTGTACATGTTGTACGTTATACTAGTGATATTTGAATATACAAATTCAAATAACCTAATATTCGTGAATGCAGATTTTACCAATAAGAAGACATTATTACGCGACCATTACAATGAATTCAGACATAAAAGGAGTGAAGATAGTTGCTGTAAAGCCCTGGAAATTGAAACCAAATCCAAAAAGGAACGGTTTAATTCGAAAATCAGCGATCTTGAGACTAAAGTGGATCATTTGACCGAAAAACTGACTGTCCTCGATAACAAATTGCAGAAGTATCACCATCCATTCCAAACATACAGCCTAACGAGACAATTAAATTCGCAAAAGTAATATTAAACCGAGGGAATGCATATAATCCATCAAATGGAATTTTCACAGTGCCGTTACCGGGTACGTACATGTTTTAATCATCGATACTGACCAAACTCAAATCAGGAGTGGAAGTTGCCCTGTATGTGAATAACAACTTCAAATTGATGATATATGCCGATGCACGAAGAGCACTCCAATTTAACAACGGTATGAACGCTGTTGTTTTACGGCTGAATAAAGAAGATCAAGTAAGAATGAAAAAGTAGAAGCATTTTGGTAAAAGTCCTTTCTACATACATGCTACATGGAGTACCTTTTCTGGCTTTTTGATCAGCTCTGACCATGTCTGACATTAAAGTTATTTACCAATTAACGCCTGATGTGTAGCCTTTTATATCTTTAATTTGAAAATCAACATTGTTTTAATTAGATTTTTATAACATCGAAACCATTTACTGTGGTAATTGTTGTCTCGCTTGCGACAAAGTCGCGATAGCGAGACTTATGCGTACTGTGCCCGTTCTTGACGGCGTAAATATTGTGTTAAGAAAAGGATTAAGTTCAGTGGTATGAGAAACACTTTTTGTAAGTCAATGATTGTTGGTAAGCAGTTGTTAAGATTAAAGAATATATCTCCCTCATGCAAATCTCGCATTCCTTGTCCTGATTTGACTGTACTTTATGTCATTTTTGGTTTGATCCGCTCTTCAAAATTTCTTTAACAATTGGATATTCAAATATGTCGGCCAGGGACTTCACTGAAGAGACATTAATTGTCGAAATGTGCATCTGGTGCATACAAATTTGTACCGTTTATGTAATTACTACCACTGGGTGGATATCTCTGTCTGCTAGTGGATTGTAAGTCCCCGAGGGTATAACTATCACAGGAGCCAGTACTTCGGTACTTCCAATGAAATATGGATATTGTTTGATTAAAATTTGCTGTTGTGAAGTTTTGGACATTATGTTTATTTAACGAATATATATCCCTCCTGCAAAGCTGATTCCTTGTCCGGATTTTGCTTTTGTTTATGTTGTTTTTGGCCTGTTCTACTCTTTAACATTTGTATAAAAAATTGATATTCAAATATTTGGCCTCGAGCTTAATTCTGGAAGAAAAGAGGGGCGAAAAAACCAGAGGGACAGTCAAACTTACAGATCGAAAACAAATTGAGAACGCCATGGCTAAAAAATAAAAAGACAAACAGACAAATAATAGTACACAGACACAACATAGGAAACGAAACAATAAGCAACACGAACCCCACCAAAAACTGGGGGTGATCTCAGGTGCTCCGGAAGGGAAAGCAGATCCTGCTCCACATGTGGCATCCGTCGTGATGCTCATGTTATTACAAATCCGGTAAATAGTCTAATTCGGTAGGTCACATTCGTGGTGAAGAGGGAAGTGAACTGTAATTACGACATAAGGAACATATCCGATATCATATGTGAAACGGTTATTCCATAACGGTCAACCAACTCGTGATGGCGTCCGTAAAATTTACGAAGGCATGATTTCAACTTCACCATTCGGAACTCTTGGTTTAATAGCTTCTTTGTGAGCAGCAACCCTCTATCAAGGAACTCATGATAGGAAATACAAGCCCGGGAATATCGTATCAATTGGGATATATATACTCCGTATGCAGGCGCTGCTGGAATGTTGCTACATATACATGGAAAGTTCACAATGGAAATTAATTGTCGAAATGCGTATCTGGTGTATAAAAAAATTGGAAACGTTAATGTAACTACTACCACCGGGTCGATACCTCTGCTGGAGGACTGTAAGTCTACGAGGGAATCACAAACCCTGTAGCCAGTACTTCGGTACTGGCATGCAAATACAGATCTTTTTTTGGATTTATATTTGCTGTTGTAAAATTTTGGAAATCAATTAAAAAGTAACGAATATATCTGCCTTATCATTGCTTATGCAAAGATCTGATTCCTTGTCCGGATTTGGCTACTCTTTAGGTCGCTTTCGGTTTGATCCTCTATTCATCATTTGTATAAGAATTGGATATTCGTATATATTGGCCTCGAGCATCACTAAAGAGACATTAAAATTTTGAAATGCGCATCTGGTGCATGAATAATGGTACCGTTTATGTTATAAGCATTGGCACAAATTATGTCAATGGCGATTATATTGCCCAGATCACTCAGACATGATACGGTTGCATATTTTAAATGTCAAAGTTCGTAGTTATAAACAAAATATATGCGATATGATGACAAAGGCGATAACTAAATACTCAATACTAGTACCCAATGATTAGGATGTAAACAATTAAGTCACCGTCCGGTTAACAAAATCCATACAGTAAAACCATACCGTAAAATAAACAAAAATAAAAAATCTACAGCATAATGTATGCTTATAAACAATAAACGAAAAAACAAATAAGACAGACCTCAACCGAAAAAAAAACCAAAAGATAACAAGCTCCTGACTTATAAGACTCATAAAGTTTTGATGGGGTTAAATACGATTGTATGTGCTTAATCCTCCACAACCTAGAACAGTGGTGTAACAGCACAACATAAAACAATTTAAAACAAGTCGGAAAGGGATTGACACATCACATAGGCATGAAGAAGAACAGGGTTAGCGTTTCCTGTTATGAATGCACACTCAGTCGAGTGATAAAGCCAGTTTCAACTTATTAATGAAGAATATTTCCCCAGACTAAAATATCGATCAGGAAACATCCAACGGATTTAGTAAAAATGCATCATGAACAGTCTAAGAGTTCATTACTGTATAGCAACACACATTTAGTTATCTTTTAATTTATTAAAAAATTATCATTGTACGACCCGTTAGTGACAAAATTCAAAACTCTTATAACAGTGTAACATTGATTGCCTCTGTTCATAAAAGAGCAGGCCCAAAAATAAAGTACGCAAATTTCGAAGTGTTTATGACTTTAAAGTGACATCAGAAGTCTAACTAAATTGTCTATTTATATTTTATCTATTAATTTATCAATAGAATATACCTAGTTTTGAAATGCTTGAATGATATAACTATTTTTTCAATTTTAATTAATCAATATTATAAATTAATTGTTTACAAATCTTTGAATTTTTCGAAATACAAAGGATTTTCCAACTCAAGAATAGATTACCTCAGCTGTATTTGGCAATACCTTTCTTAATTTTTTTGGTTTTCATCACTGTTCAATGCTCTTCAACTTCGTACTTTATTTGACCTTTTTAATATTTTCGATTCGAGGGTGACTGATGAGTCTTTTGAAGACGAAACGCGCGTCTGACGTACACAATTTTATTCCTGGTGTCTATGATTTTATTTTCAAACCTGCATTCAAATTCAAATGTGGATTTAAAGGTTTAAACTCCCAGGGTAGGAAAATTACGCCATATGCAGCGTTTCGTACTTATAACAATGACGACTAAATCAATCCTCATGGTGCATTTTTGTACGTTGTCGACATACTTCCCTTGAGCACATTGTTATTATATAATAAATACTTTCAATGCTTAAAAACAAAAGAAACAATTTAGTATTGCTCCAAACTGTGATTTAGCGATATTTATGTTTATGCCCCAAAAATACCAGAGACGCAATTACTGTATGTATATTAACAGTATAACCATAACTTTCATCAATAAGTCTATAGAGTCAAAGAGTACAACTTTAAAAATTATTAGCCTTATGAATAATGTTACTGTACAGAGCTGGATCCAGATTATCACTTTTAATCTTTCCTGCAGTGGAATCACACTTCATTTCACATCTTATCTTTATATTCCATCATACATTTCTACTCATGTTACAACATTTAATAAACAGTGTGTTCATTAAAATCAGAACCTTCTCTTCAAAAGAAAATTTTGCACAACACCAAACAATTAGGTGATACATAAGACAACCATTTGCGGGTTTCCTGACTTAGAACATGTACATGTCTAGGTAAAATAAGTTTTTGTAAGATTTCATCCTCCTCAAGGAAGAAGTTGGAACTGGATGTTAAGCCAGCAGCACTCAACCAATTAATCAATCAATTAAAATTATTATACTTGCAAAGTCTTCACAAACAGAAATAGACGTTTCAACGAGCAATCTAAACTTATAGGTTTCATATATGTAATCTCTAATTCAATATTTCAGATAACATCTGTGTTAAACGTATTAACCAGGCCACCTTTTTGTGTGTCTGTCCCAAGTCAGGAGCCTGTAGTTCAATGGTTGTTATTGGTTCATGTCTGCCATATTTGTTTTTCGTAAATTGTTTTGTTATAAATTAGTCTATTAATTTTCTCAAATGATTTTTTTTTACATTTTTTATGTCGGGGCCTTATATAGCTGAGTATATGAGTTTTTCCCATTGTTGAAGGTCTTACGGTTGCCAATATTTGCTTGCATCAACTTTAGTTGTAATTTGGTGGATAGTTGTTTCATTTGCAGTCATACCACGTTTCCTTATTTTTATATAGAGCTACATAATAGAACCCTGCCACATTCAAATATTCCCAGGATAAGGGAAAAGTATGTTCTTTACTATTGATACATACATGTCATTTTAAAACTCAAACAATCAACACTGAAATTGTCCTTTTTTATCTGCAGGGATATTCAATTCCACCCTCTTTCAAACATTGTGAAAAATCAGCATTATGTTAGAATGTTTTATTCAGAAAACAAAATAGAAATTTTCATAGACACAGTATAAAGTATTTAGTATAAAACACATAACAAAACATAATTATCATTGACGATTTGCCTCAAACATTTGTTTTAATATATAGTGACTGCAATACGGAAAATCTTTAATAGTTAAATAAGTGTACAAGTCCAATAGATTTTAAATAATTTTGTTGTTTGCATATCAAAATGAAATAACACTTTGCTATTGGTCAACTATAAGTTGATGTTGACGTTGTTTTGGTTTACGCCATTGAAAATATAACACAAAATGTATTAGATTCTGAAACAATGCAATTATTGTCGAAGAGCAATTGCAAATTTTGCCAACAGCAAAAAAAGTTTACTGAATGCTTTTTGTTTCTGTAACATTATCATACAAGGTAGTATTTTCAAAGGTCCCACTATTGATCATGTCAGTTAAAAAAATTAAAACCTTTTTGATCAAGGTTCCAGGACGCCAAGTGTTGTAAATGTTTAAGACAAAAATTACTCATCACGAAGAGATTTACTACTATTTAATTAAATATGTACAAATAACAATTCTTTTTTAAAGAATTAAAACAAAATAAATAAACTATATCTATTTCAACAAAGAAGTTCATATATTATAACACTTCACATATAATAACACTTTTAAATTAGTAAAATTTAAATGGACGGATTTGGTTTACCGAGAAATTTAAAGCATTCATAGCGGTTACCTCGCTAATGCCACTCGAAAAAGGCAAAGACATTCAATATACAAATATTCAGTCACTAAAGAAATCCATCTTACTTTTTCTATTTACATAAGAGTTAATACATAGCAACAAGTAATATAACGAAACCAAATGAAATCCTTTGCCTTATCTAAAATTTTAAGTGTCATTGTTAGATGGAAGATAACTTTACTACAACATAAACATTTGGTAGGTTTTAGCCAGCTAAATTGCTGAAGTCGAAAACAAATCTCCTCAAAGGATTTCAGCAAGAGACGAAACTTTGTTCTCTCAGTTACATTGTATATATTAAGTATAACTCAAAATCTCTTGATAATCACTTGATAATCACTATAAACAAACTCTTATGGTATCCAATAATGTATCACAACTTTTTACATCGGTACATTTTTGTCATAACAAGATCTATTAAAAGGGAGGTAACTCCAATTATTAATAAATCATCTTTGCCCTGTATGTTTTCGATGAACAACTCATCATGAACGTTTATCAAAACGACTGATTAACAATATCACCTTATTAAGGTTTCCATCAGATACACCAACAACGTGAGCAGTAAATCCCAAAGATGACCTTATGACACAGCTTTGGTAAACTTCGGCAAATTTCGGTTAATCTCGACAAGTTTCGCCATCAGCAAATAAATCATTGAATGTACACTTCATTTCAATATTCAAATCGATTATTCTTTAATTTATTTCTGTTAACAATGATTTCGGCTAACTTTCAACATATTGTCAGATAATAATTTAGTTTTAATGATAGATTCCTTTTGTTTTGATTGTTTGTTAAAAAGAAAATAATAATTCAACTCACTGTAAAGCATCGTATATTATTAATAACTTAACAAAACAATCAAAAGCAAAATAACATACACTTTATATATGTGATTGAAACATTAAGACGAGACAGAATAATTATCACAGATCTGCTTTGTTCAATATATTTTAGTGTAAAGAAGCAAATATGAAAATCCTGCAACAATATATTCAAATAGGCTGACTTGTGTCAATTGAGTATATGGTTTTAACTTTTCCTCCCAATAATAATAAACTTGACTCCTTTTCTCGATTCAAAAATGATATAAATAAATGACCGACTTTAAAGCATCAAATATCAAATGCTTGTTAATTATGATTGATAAAAAAAATCAGACGCAAAACAACATACACTTTATATACAATTATCACTGATTAGAACTTAAAGATGAGACATAATAAATATCACAGTTCTGCTTTGTGAAACACAATGTAGAGTAAAAAAAGCACATCGGAAAATGCTACAAGGATGTCTTTTAAATAGTTGACAAGTGTCAATTGTGTATGTGATATTATTACTTAATTTTGGGATTGCCAAACACTTGTCAATACGTTTGTTTTCCGTATTACAATACGAATTAAACCGAAAGGTGTATTCTACAGATTATAAAATATGCTAACATAGAAACAACGACGTATACTATTATAAGAACGATTCTTAACCTACGGCATGACACTTTATTTCTTGATTTTATAAAAATGATTTGTATATTTGGCATTGAAAGCCCTATCCTATTTCTGTATATACAAAATGCATCATTGTATATACATTTAACACATTTCCATAACGAAGTCTTTAAAAGAAATTACCATTTAAAAAAAAGAAAGCATATCGGCAAAAAAATAAACGAACAGTTTTTTTTTATCACAGCTACATAGTTTGATGTATAAGATGAACGATGAATGCGGGACATACATGCAATAGACATAATAGTCACTCATTTAGTCCACTGAGTCCAATGACATTTTATGAGATTAGTAATAACACAATGGTTCATATACAAAGCATTGTCACGTTTTCTGTTAGCTTAGGCTATTCGAAAAACTTCGAAAATAGAATGTGACAAAGTGCTAAATTTGAAGAACCATATAGTATTGATATGCGACATTTAGAATACCCCTTTGATCAAATAAGCAAAAAAATATGCATATCATGACAAATTATTCTTATAAATTAAAATATAAAAGATTCAAAACTTATTTTTCGAGCGACATTTACGTTGAAATGATTGAAAGAAATAAAATCTTTAAAAACCTTTCATGCAAATAGTACTAATATATAATGTTTGTGAATGTAGTTGTTATTTACACTGCATTTTAATATATCATTGAACTGTTATTATCTGATTTAAAATCACCATAAGATTGTTTAATTTATCATTAGTTATTAGAGTGTTGATCATGTTGAATATGTTCGGTTGTTGGCCTTTTACGGCAAAAATGATACAGCTTGCACAAACATGTATAGTTCATAAAATAAGGCAGTGCGTGTAGTGTTTAAACATGAACAATGACCAATTCCTTCTACAAAATGTACGGCCTAATCTGCAAATAACCGATATATCCTACTTAAGCGAGCCACATGGAATATTTATTATTCAATCTCTTTCTAGTTAAAATGGATATTGGTAGCAAACAAGAAAAACCACAACTACATGCATGGTTCTTTAAACAAACAATGCACGTTCAATGATATTTTTAAACGCAATGTAAATTGGTAGAATGAAAATGCCTTCGAGGTAAGTACATTTTGATAATACTTGAAATGAAAAAGTAAGATAATGTTCACAGAAATTGGAGATCATGACTTGATCTTACAAAGACGTGCACATTTCCTGGTCTTTCCATATCTTTTTCTTTCCCTTTTCCATAAACTGTACATTTTACGTCTTTCCCGTCTTCTCCGCCATGTTCGTCAACTCGGGCTTCACAACAAAAATCATCTACAAAGCTGTTACTATTAATTACCTAAAAAGAGAAGACTAACTGATTAAAAGTTTGCTTTGATGAGAAATAAGACATTACCTGAGAGATCTATGACTTCTGTTTTTGTGTATTATAAATGATGATGATAATGAGGACGATAAAGAAGTGGGGGACGACATAGATGATGATGATGATGACGATGACGATGATGATGATGATGATGATGATAATGACGATGACGATGACGATGACGATGATGATGATGATGATGATGATGATGATAACGACGACGATGATGATGATGATGACGATGATCATGATGGTGACGATAATAATGACGATGATTACGATGACAATGACGACAATGACGACGATGATGATGACGACGACGACAATGACGACGATGATGATGATGATGATGACGACGATGATGATGATTGTGTAAATCAACAACACATTATGAATCTGTTGATAAAACATCTGTAAATAAACCTTATTTAACCTAAACGAATATTATGAAAATTAAATTAAAAGGTCTTCATTGTTAACTTTCTGAAACATTATTGAGAAGCCATTTCCAGTTTACTCAAAGTTACTACTGTTGTCAAATAATAGGTTTCGAAATACCAATTCCAAAAATATATGGTTTCTATTTTCTGATATAAGGGAGAAACTTGGCTACTTCTGGTTAAGCACATGTCTCTCTCGGTCTCGCATGAAAACTTTATTCACAATGATCCAAAACTTTGTGGTTTATTTATACTTTTGCGGAAATAAGGGAGATAATTTGCTACTTCCGATAAATAAAATTCACTTCCATTATCATATAATAGTTTCATTCACACTGCTTTCAAACAAATATGATTTCAATAGACTTTTGCCTGAAATAAGAGAGGTAATTTGCTACTTCCAGTTTGAAAAAAATGCTACTTCGTGTTTACTTTAGGTCATATGTCACCAAATATTTTGTAAAAGACGGATGACATGGCTTTACCAGATTGAAGTTATAATCAATTCCACTTTCATCACGTTCACTTACTGTTCATTAGTTTCATTATTTAAACACGAATATAAATCGTTGAGAATATTTCAAAAGTGAATCTTCCTATATGAAAAAATCACCAATAAACTCAGAAAATCGTGAAAATAAATCGCTGCTAAATTGACTTAAAAGGGCTAAACGCCAAAACAAGGTATCCGCGAAAATAAGTAGGTTTTTTTCTCTTTCCCCCTATTTCGTTGCGATACTACCTACCTCTATAGTGATCGGCTCATCCGGCTTTTTACGGTAAAATGTAACTTTAAAGTCGAACTCTGCGTCTGCTGTGTTAACACGTTGTTTACCGCCTTGATCTTCCTTTATCACTCTAGATACCACCTTCTCTCCTTCACAGCGTACAACTACTTTGGGATCAAAGGCTAAAAAGGAGTAAACAAATCAATAAATATTGAGTTATGAGGGTCTGGATTGGTGGTCCTTAATTTCTGTATTCTTAAAATCTTTAGGGAATTTATTTTTATCTTCATCACTCATTCTGTTAACTTCTTATCCAGAAGATGTTATGGTTATATATTTTATCTGTAATTCTATGATTTATTTATTCTTTAGAACATTCATAGTCAGTATAATATTCTCTAATTCCTTTATTGTCCACAATTATTCTTTATACTTTTGCACCCCATTATTCTCTATTCTTTAATTCTTTTGTTCCTTTGTCTCTATTCATTATATTATTTGACCACTATTTTCTATTCTGTAAACCCAATCTAGACCGTTTTTTCTATTATGATTAACGCCACGTCGTCAGCAGTAATTGGCTATTTATAAATTATAAATAAATTTTAATAAAATTAAGGTTTTTACATTTGTATGTAAACACACTACATTTTATGTTTTAATTGATGGGATCGTGTTGCTCAGAGTTTTGTTGTGTTTTTTTTTTCGTTGTTTTGTCGTGTTTTGACACAGTACTGCCATTTTGTTTTCGATTGATGAGTTTGAATATATCTTTGGTATTTTACGCTCTCTTTTACTCCTTAATAACGTAATCTAATAGCATATACAGATATTGGTAGTCTTGAATTGTGGTTAGATGGTGAAATGCACTTTGTTTAATTTTATCACCATTCCTTTGTGTTTTATTGACAAAAATGTATATATTTTGAGACCTATAAAAGTAAGAAACAAATAAAATTTAAATTACACGTACTTTTAACCTTTGATCCTGCAGGTTTTGTGACTCCTTCCAATTTCATGACCGTCAATGTTGTTACTATCAATGGGAGTTTTGAGCAAGGACATGTCTTCGTTGGTCCTTCTTTTGTCAATTCCCTACATAAGTGGTAATAAAACATGAACTCAACTTAAAATTATAATTTATATTTTATGTTAGATTAGTTTAAATAAAATGGACTTTATGAATTAACTTTACGCAGTATTTTTCAACACCAAGAGAGAGGAAAACACCAAAAGAGAAGACAATGTGTCTTGATAACCATGAAAGACCTCAAAACAAGTTACATTTTAACCTTATAAAGTTTGTCCAAAGTCCCCCTTGCATCTGTGCAGTAGAATTTAATGAGAAAAGTTGAAGAAAGAAGACACATCTTATTACACATGCGCATACCAAATTGAATCGTCTTAGGCAACGTTGCTGTAAAAAAACATCTCGAGCAGAAACAACAGTTTTGTAAAGGTGTCGTTTCAAATTAATATGATTTAAGACTATTCTACATTACACATGTTTCAGAACATAACATGAGCTGCGTCGGATAGAAATCGACCTTATGCAAGTGCACGTTGACATGTACATGTGTAAGACTATGATTGATTATATAACATTCAAATACGAAATAAAAGATTAATTTTGAACTGCTTTGTAGGGTTCAATTTCCAAACAGTTACAGGCTTTCCGTGGAGATTTTTTTTCAACCCGAAATAGGTTTACAGATGTATACGAATTCATTTGCATAAGGTCGATTTCTTTCCGACGCAGCTCACATTATCAATAAACTTTGGGACAAACCATGCTTTTGAAGCCCCGATAGAGATTTGACGGAAAATTTAGTGAAACATTATCCCATATCTAAGAGAACTTCTTTCTAATTTCGTAATGAGAGTAAGAGAAGAATGAAAGACGACGACAATGAAATGTTATACTTACCATCCACTAGGAGCATTAATTATAATCAAATTATATATTAAAAAAAACAAATTACATTTTATTACACAATTTAGATACAATTATAAGGATAAGAACGCCTCCTGAAAAAGCAGATAAACAGGAAAATTGATTGATTGGTTGTTGTTTGTTTAAAGTCAAGTGGAAAATGTTTCAGACAAATTCAGGACGAGAGCATTAAACAATAAACCAATTGTGTAGATTGGTCACATGTATGGTAAGTGCAGAATTTTTGCAAGGCAATATGTCACCAAGGGAATCACCAAATAGTTTTAATTGCAAAAGTTGCTTTATATGAAAGACTGTGGCTCTATACTATAAACTAAAACAATATGAAAACCAGCTTTCTTATCTAATGCTAACGTTGTATTAATTTATATCCAGTTAACTATGCTATCGGTTACATAATTACTTTTCAGGGGCAGGTCCATGTAGGCAATTGAATAGTGTACATTTAACAGTATGCTATATACATTAGAAAACAATGCATTTTCAATCAATTGAAACGCTGTTTGAAAATCCCAATACGATTTGAAAGTGATACATATTTGAAGTAAATTACTAAAATAAATAGATGACCATTTATATGAATTTAGGAAAAATTCAATATCGCTTGTCAGAAAATCGTTCGCCAGGAGTGCTCGTAAACGAAACCTGCTTATAACAATCTACATAATTAGTGCTCGATTACAAAAAAATAATAATATTACTCCAAATATATGTGCTCGGTATAACAATATGATGATAAGTACCTTCCACTGGCTTTACTACTTGTGTATAATCTCAACATGAATGGTCCATGTTCTCCTGTCTTTTCCGTACATGGAACGATGACATATCTGCCTTTAAATAGTTTGCTTGTACCAAATATACTCCTTCCTTTCACCATATCAGATGATAAAATGTGTTCACCTGGAATGTGCATTCTGTATATTCTGTTCTCCTCAACCTGAAATTAAAAATAAGGAGATATTGTATTGTTGCCTATTAGACAAATATTTATCAGAGACCAAAGGAAAAGGATGAAAATAGTTATAGGGCATCGTGAAGTTTATTACGAAAGAAAGGAGCTGTTAGTTTTAAAATAACATAAACAGTACCAAGGTTACTGCATCAGATAAGCAATCCGCCAGTTAATCATTATGTCTCTTTAGTGATGCCAGAGGCAAAAATATCTGTGAAAATCCAAAAAATGGAATATCCTATCTATCGTATCAAACATAAACTAAAAGAACTAGCCAAGGAATTTGTTTTTGTCCCGGCTGATAAAGCTGCTAATAATATCATAATAGTTTGACGTAAATTTTACATTGAGTTTCTGCAAAAGGAAATCACGAATTCACCAACATTCCAACTGACTTCATTTTCAGAAAACGATATCTGTAACAAACATAAACTATTAGCTACTTCTTTACAAGCAGAACAAAATACAATGAAAGTCCCAACTATGTACTGGCTTCCGAAGCTACACAAATCACCTTACAAATATAGATTTATTTCGTCTTCAAGTCATTGTTCCACTACTAAATTGTCTATTCTACTTACTAGTACACTTGGTACAATCAAAAACCTGATAATAAATTGATCAAATAAGGCCTTTGAAAATACTGTGGATTCATTAGTATTCGTTGGGTACCAATTTTCGTGGATTTCGTGGTTATAGGTTAACCACAAAATTAAATGTTCAACGAATGGCAAATTTACTATAGGCTTGTATGCAGACATTGTCAAAAACCACGAAATTAAATATCCACGAACATGTAAGTTTTCCTTAATCCACGAAAATTGGTACCCACGAAAATAAATGAATCCACAGTAGTGGAATTAACTACTTTTGTAGTGTCAAAAACTCGTTGGAAGTACTTGATAAATTGCATGCATATATTGGTGATTTTGAATCTGTTCAAAGTTTTGATTTTTCTACCCTATATTCCACTTTGCCTCATATTCTTATTAAGAAAAAATTCACACACCTAATTAAATGGGCATTTAAAAAGTCGGAATGCGAATACATAATTTTTATGTTCAAACTCTTTTAGGTCATTTTTTAGTAGCAACAAACAAAAGACCTATGTCAATTGGACATGCTTTGATACTATATCTGCCCTTGAATTTTTACTTGATAACATTTTTGTTCGCTTTGGAGATTCCGTAAATCGTCAAGTTATCGGAATTCCAATGGGGACTAACTGTGCACCACTTATTGCGGACCTGTTTTTGTATTGTTATGAGTTACAATTTATGACTAAAATCAGCAAAGACCCATCGAAACAACATCTGATACAAAAATTTAACAATACTTTTAGATATTTGGATGATATATTGGCTCTCAATAATGACAACTTCAGTATGTATACTAAAGAAATTTATCCTGTTGAAATTACTTTAAATAAAGCTAACACTAACAATGACCACTGTCCTTTCCTCGATCTTGATATCTATATCATTAACGGGAAGCTTAATACAAAAATTTATGATAAAAGAGATGATTTTTCATTTCCTATCGTTAATTATTCATTTTTAGATGGTGACGTTCCTTTGTCACCATCTTATGGTGTTTATATATCTCAACTTGTACGATTCGCTCGTGTACGTAACAACGTATTAGATTTTAGCGAGAGAAATTTATATATTACTGAAAATTTATTACACCAGGGTTTTCGATATCATAAACTAGTCAAAACATTTACTAAATTTTATCATCGGTATAAGGACATCATTCGTAAATATAACTCAACATGCAGACATCTTATACGTTCGGGTATTTCACATCCAATCTTTTATGGTAATGTTCTTAAAAAGCACAAAAATGTCAGTTTTCACCTCAAAAGCTAACAAAACCTTTTAACAGACTTATTAAGAAGGGATATAGTTACGATACTGTTGTCAGGTCATTAAAGATTGCATATTTTGGCTTTAATATTGATTCACTTATAGGGTCTTTGCATCGGAATTAAACATATTTATTCTAAAACCAGTTGTTGGCATGACACGGGTTATGTTCTCTCATATATATTATGACGGTATTATACTAAACCCCTAACAGGAGGGATTGTGCCTGATATTCATATGATGAAGACATAATCTTTCAATCAGTTTAATTGATGTCTGGAGCTGGCATGTCAGTAACTGCTAGTAGTCTGTTGTTATTTATGTATTATTGTCATTTTGTTTATTTTCTTTTGTTTCCTATTCTGACATCGGACTCGGACTTCTCTTAAAATGAGTTTTACTGTGCGTACTGTTGTACGTTTGTTTTTTCTACATTGGCTAGAGGTATAGGGGGAGGGTTGAGTTCTCAAAACACATGTTTAACCCCGCCGCATTTTTGCGCCTGTCCCAAGTCAGGAGCCTCTGGCCTTTGTTAGTCTTGTATCATTTTTAATTTTAGTTTCTTGTGTATAATTTGGAGTTTAGTTTGACGTCCATTATCACTGAACTAGTATACATATTTGTTTAGGGGCCAGCTGAAGGACGCCTCCGGGTGCGGGAGTTTCTCGCTGCATTGAAGACCCATCGGTGGCCTTCGGCTGTTGTCTGCTCTATGGTCGGGTTGTAGTCTCTTTGACACATTCCCCATTTCCATTCTCAATTTTAATACATTGTTGAGAAGCAGGTAAAAACAAAAAGTTTAAAACCATAAATAAAAACATACAAAAAACTCACGATGTTATATACAAGTATATATATCTATAGTTAATAACAGTATTTATGAGGTTTATCCAGCCATAAAACCAAGTTAAACCCACAATATTCTTCGGAAAATGCCTGTTCCAAGTCATAAATATGACAGTTGTTTTTCACTCGTTCAGTGGTTAATAAAGTTTGATTTTGTCGGTTTTTATGGACTTCGCCTTTATGAATTTACCTTGGATTTTGGTATGTTTGTTTTACTTTGTTATACATTTTATGTTGAAAGTTCGTCAATTAGACAGTTAAACCATTAAACCATTGACACTAACAACGAAATGACAAAGAATAGTTGCAAACAATAAACAATCAAAAAATAAATAAAACAAACAGTTTAATAGTCCAATAATTACATTACATGTATGTTTCACGAGAATTCGTTAGTTTGGTTGGCTAACAACAATCGCGCGTCATTCAAAAATTAACATTCATATCAAAATGAAATATTACATTCGTGATGACACGTGCCTCCACAAAAAAATGCACAGTTTAATAAATGAAAAACTTGATAACAAAATTTGTTCATGGTCTTAGCATAAAAATGTAATTATAAGAAATGAATGTTTCTTTTAGTAATTTGATAGGGTTGTAAAAGTGTTGATCGTGCACAAAAATTTATAGAAAATGTGCTTCGGTCAACACTTTTATACCCCAATAAAATTAAAAAAAGAAGCATTCATTTCTTATATAATTGTAAGTTGATTTACAGGGACAACCTACCTTCATTATTCTATATCCTATTGTGTTTAGAGTTCGTCCAAAATGTTGTCTTCCAGGTTGAATATCATGCTGTTCCAGGGAAACAAGTATTGTGTCTTCTTCTTGTATTATGTCAAATACGTACTGTAATACGAAAAACACATTTAGATAATGGTGTGTTCCATTTGTTCACAAAATGTACCCTAATTGAGTACACAAAAGCACGTAGATAAATAGATAAATACAAAGATACATTGTAGGTAGTTTTTTTTCTGAATGAAAATCTGTTTGATTGATTTATTAATTGATTGAATGCAAGCGGATCATATTTCATCTCGGTTTCAGGACACAAACAAATTAACAATGAAACTAACAGATATCGAACTGCACGTGCGTTTTCATGTTTCAACAGACTCTTTCTTCGTGCAACCTTTTGCACCAACTTTAAAGTTTCATGCACAATGCCACCTGCTCTATTTCGACTTTTTTACGCGTAGTATCTTGTTCCATCCCATTACTCAAGGTAAAATTGAAAATGTCTGTCGGACTCTAATGGGGAGTTTCATACCTTCTGCACTTTTACTCAATTTATATGTATTTTACACTGGCACACATAAATCGTTAAAGGTCATACATGTAGATTTGTTTTTTAAGGATGTACTCAGGTCAGGTTTATGAATTTTTGTCAGATGTTCAGACTCCTTGGCCTTTTTTCTACGATACAGGGTAAAATATTTTGCCCCACATCACCCACTTTTTTTTCATAGAAGACTTCAATAGCTCATAAAAAGGGCATTACCAAAATTTAAGCAGATTCTAGATTTTTTTTTCTTACGATTTGAGACCCAAATAATGTCAATGCTTAATATCGCAAAAAGGAGTTCCATAACCTATCAATATTTTTAGCTTATTTGTTCCTTTACTAATGCTCTTCTGACTAATTGTATCAATTCTAAATTCTAGATTTTTTAAATTTCACCAAACTACATCCTTAAAGCACGCTTCAAGTTAATCAATTTTACTGTCAACAGGTTCTTCCTTGATATAAATTTCACAAAACATGTAGTCTTGTAAGCGCTTACAAGGACATTTTCCTAAGCGCATAACTCCTGATAGTTAATCGGCACTTATATTTTAAAATTCGCCTGAGATTTTGCTGGTATAAACCTTTGATATTGATTTGATAAACATCTGGCAAAAAAAAATGTACACGTGAGAGTACTTAAAAGCCCGGTCGGACTAACGGACGAACAACGGACGTCCGGTATTTCTCTGTTCAATGGGTTACGGCAGGGGACAAACAATAGATCAATTGAAAATCAACAATCTGATTAAAATTTAGAGCATAAGGTTTTCAGTTTCTCATTTTTTGCTAAACTGATATTCAACAATTTAATATCAGAATAGTAACAGTAGTATTTTTAGCAAGTTACTAAATTGTATGCTTGTCCATTAATAATACTTTAAAAGAATGGAACTGTGCATCCTCATCATTTAACAGTTTGCATTATATTTAAGGGAGTTTCGCTTTACAGTATTTCATCTGCTCGGGCGATGACTTGTTTCTTGTGACACTTTGAAGTGTTGACATTTATTATATTTGGAAAGTTCCTATTTTTTTTTTTACAAACTCATATATAAAATTCTAGAATGACTTAGAAATGCCTATATGGCTTAGTAAAACTTCCCACTGGGACCCAATAGCATGATTAGCATAGGTAGATGAAATCAGATAACTTTTTTCATATATATATATATATATATATATATATATATATATATATATATATATATATATGACGTTGATTTTTCTCCTTTATCAGTGTACTTTACGATGGTAAAACTTACGGTTCGCTTCGAATACATTAGAATAACTGACAAACAAAACGAAACAACAAATGCTCCGAAATCGCGATTTATATGATTTTTGTTTGTTTCACATACATACATAAATGACCTACCTGTGGATTGCTAAGGAATGTTGGCGAATCGTAAACACATCCGCCATTGCGTCCTTGCACCGACCATTCGGAATGCATAATACTCTCATTCCATGATTTCTTTAGACTTATAATTGCCGTGTTCACAAAATGACATACATCAACGTTCGTTAAATAACTCACAAAATCGTCAAAAGCCATCCTGTAAAAAGGAAAGTATTCAAATAAATGGCTAAATCGTAGTCAAATATAACATTTGTTGATATTTTTCTAGATAAATTCATATGAAACTTCCAAAGAAATTACTTTCGAGAGCAAAGGATGAATAAAAGCATTGGAAGCTATATTACGAAACAGAGGCCTAAATTAAAAGACCACAACCGTCTCACATGACTTTTCATGGATGATTTGGAAGTTTTAATGTATGCGACATTGTAATTGAATAAGAGAACGGTAGTTTTCATTTTTAATTTCAAAAAAGGTCAAAAATATATAAATATGTGTTTCCCGCCTCCCGACAAAACATACATGTATAACAAAAATATTTAGGTCAGTCGTACATTTAGAATGAATGGCTTACGTAAACCACCAACTTCCGAAGCAAAATCGTCGGATATCCGACCATGCCCGATGTTCTGTGTATTGATTGCTGAGTTTACGAGCTTCGAAGTTGGCACATTGAGATCTAGTTCAATAATAAAAATGTTATTTTTTCTGCTCTTTGGTCGGGTTGTTGTCTCTTTGACACATTCCCCATTTCAATTCTCAATTTTATGATAAATTATCTTGTTCAATCATTACTTTTAAATTATTGTAGGTGTTATATTCTGTAAACCATACAATTGCGTTGAGATTAGAGAATAGAATATGTTTTCTATTTTTTTCAGAACTACTTTCTTACCAAAATTCGCCTTCCTGTTGAAATTTAAGTCCAAGTTTTGTCCATTCTGTTTGCCCGATTTTGTTCCATTCGGCAGATCTAAAAATAATTCAAGTTGAAATTTTATTAGTGATAACTGAAATATTAAAATTCAATACTGTATTTGTTTGATTTTTTAAAATTTTAACAAAATGCATACTAATATTATGAACTTACCCGTCTGCCCATGGTCCATTCCACTCTTTAACACCCCATGGATTAGCCATTCTGACCATGTGAAGTTTAGATGCGCCTATAGCGCCCTGGTACTTCTTGTCTACATTTATCTCTGCTACTTTGGTAATATTGTAGCCGTGACCTAATATTAAACCTTGGGGTAGTTCCTTGCCGGTCTCTTCAGGTTTACACTAAAATAGTAAAACAAAAAGCTGGTCAAAACAGAAAACATATCAATTAATTTGTATTCAAATTTGTTGACTTATTTAAGCGATAATTGTAGCATTTAAAATTGGTTTGTCTTGGCAATGTTTACACGAGTACAAAACCCTAGAACTACTTAGAGTAAAGAACACAAAATAATACCCTCGTCCCTTGCAAAGTTCGTGATTTGTTAAGGGAAAGCTAAAAAATTATTCGGATGAAAATAAAATGTCTAAAATAGCATTATGCAGTTTAGGTTGTGCAAACGTTTCAATACATTATTGAAAGTAGTATATAGAAGTTCTCCATACAACACTGTACAATATTGGTAACTTGGGAAATGTTTCTTTCAACTAGATATCAATTAACTCAATAATGGGAATAGCATTACAGACTAACACAAAACTCAATGCAGCTTTCATTTCAAACAACCAGTAATTTCACTTTCGCATATTCTAAAATTCCATTAAGAATTTGAAAAAAATACTGTAGATCCATTTACATGTATTGTCATTGTACCAATTTTTATATCCTGATGCAAAATGTATTTCTGTGAATATTTGACTTCGTGGATATGCCAAAGTCTCCATGCAAGTCTATAGAAAATGTATATTTCGTTGAACATATAAATCCAACGTTTACCTCTACCAATAAAATTGACGAAAATTCAAATTCCACGAATAATAATTAGTTTCTGGTATTTTGAATATAACTATACCTGAATATTACAGTTTATAAGTGCCTGGTTTTCACTAGCGTCTCGTAATTTTCTAAACAATGCCATTTTCATCTGATCATCCTGTAGATTTATATTCATTAATACTAATTTCTCGGCTACGCCTCCCGTGAAATCTACAAGAGCATCAGCTGTGTCACCTTCTATTAATGATTCATAATCTCCATAAAGTCTATAAATAGATGAAAATACATTTATTTAATTAAGTTAGCTTAACAAGTGTTTCTATTGTAATTATCACCAGAGAACTATACTCAACTAATGGACACAAACACAAAGTTTTAACACAAATTCAACTACAGTTTTCGTAACAGATGTTGTGCAGTTTCATCGTCATTGTAAATGAAGTCTGAAACGATTGGCCACTCTTTTCACAAACAATCTAACGATTTAAATAAATCGTAATTCAAACTGGAATGTGCTTTCTCGTTAGACATTTTTGAGCGCTAAAACTGTGCGACGTATTTTACGAATATTTTTCTCTCGATCCCGTAGAAAGTACGACGAATTTTTGAATAGGTATGCATTTATGAACCTTTTATAGCTTGCTGTGCGGTATGGGTTTGGTAATTGTCCATGAAGTGACCGATGGTTGCTCACCTCTAGGCCATTTGTTGTTTGGTGGAGAGTTGTCTCAATGGTAATTATACCCAATCCCTTTTTTTATGATATAAAATATCAAAAAAGTCTTCTTTGTTCCCTATTCAGTAGTTTTTACGCCTACCTTTCTGTCATTCAGACATTATTCTTGCATTCATACTGCACAAAACACTAGCACTGCGCATATATGAAAAAATGCCCAGTAATCAAACAATAGTATTGCATATGAAAACAAAAATGAGTAAACAATTTATAACAAAAAGATATATACATGTGTATATACAACATACTTTGCATAAGCCTTTTCTAATAAAGCACTCCAGAATTCATTTCGAGACTTTGAGTGACAGAAAACCAATTTGCCATTCTTTGTTGGTAATCTGTCATCTACCACTATATCAATCCACTGTCCGAATCTCCAAAACGAAAAATGGAACACACCGGCATATTTAGGTTTCTCTGAGTACTCGTCCCATTCCTGTTCTTTGAGATTTGGTACAACCTAGAAATGAAGTTTGAGTCGCATTAATTACGTTCTAAATCAACACATTTATCAGTACCAAAATCGGTTTTACTTGTATACACATTTACCCAATTTATGATATTCTTTTCCTGCTATGTTTAACCACAAATCACCTCTACAGAACGGAGAAGACAACATCCTCCAAATTAAAGGTGGTTGGTTCCCACTCATGCACTTGAAGCTTTGAGAAGTTCAATGAAACATATATATAAGTGTCTACTGTCATCACTTTTGTGTTGACATGAAACATCATTGCTGTGTTCATTTTCTATAATTTTGCCGTTTTTAGAATGTTAAAGTTATTCAAAACACTGAGATGTTTAATCCCAGGTAAAGAAAGCCTCAGTCGTTTTGATACAATTTTTGAGAACTATTGGTTTTCAATATTCTTTAAATTCGTATTGATTTGGCCTTTTAATTGTTTTTATTCGAGCGCCTTTGGTGAGTCTTATGAAGACGAAACGCGATTCTTAGAAGCCTGGTATCTTTGAGGAAATGTGTAATACTTGAAGGTCTCTTATTGCTTGCAGTTAATGCGATAAACTAATAATAGCATCAGGTGTTTTGGGTACATTGTATTTAAATGCATGGTACATGTAGCTGGACAGCATTTTTTTATTGTGTATTATACATATTATACATTTACGAAATATGGTCTAAATAGATAAAGGTCACGTAGAACTGGTTTTAACACACCCCATGTTGTGCCTATACAAAGTCAAGCTATATAGGCTGTTTATTGTTTTCGGCTTTTTTTTGTATCGTTTTTCTCGGAGGAGTCGTATGGACATATATAGGTGTCCGTTTTTTTTTTTTTTTTTTTTTTTTTTTTTTGTAATCCCTGTTATCCTTTACATTTATCACGAACTAAATTCCAATCTCCTTTCTTTTCAGTATTTGTAAATTCTACCAACTCTGTGTTTTGAAGGTAGGTGAATAATTGACAATCAATATTTCAGTTTCTAAAGTTAAAACAAATGCTTGCTTATTGATTTAAAAGTACATATTTAACAATAAAGTATTCTAACCGATAATTGTTTACTTTGTGCTGTCGCAATTACATGTAAAATGTACTTTAACATGATACAGGTAACAGTAATTGCTTTCTTTGTTTCGATTGATAATTCAATATCCTTGTGTGTAAAATTTCCGCTTTTGCCCAGGCGTTATTAATTTTAATATTGATAATAGTGATTGTAATAATACAGTAGGAAACGTATTAGCGCCACACAACTTTATTTTTTATTTCTTCCAATGTTTGCAAAGTAAAATGGTTGAATATTTAGAACATATCATTGACTAATAATGAGTAGGATAATAGATATAAGAAGATGTGGTATGAATGTCAATGAGACAACTGTCCCTGCATCCAAGTCACTATTTCTAAAAGTAAACCATTATAGGTCAAAGTACAGTCTTCATCACGGAACCTTGGCCCATATCCAACAACAAGCTATAAAGGGTCCCAAAAATTATATACATCATAATACATGTATATAAATTTTACAAAGAAAATTGAGTAAATTGAAGTTATATCGAAGAATATAAAAAATCAACTCTGCTAATACAGCTATAGCCAAATATAAATATACTTCCAAAGTAAGCTCTCGTTTGAGGATTGTGTAAGGTTGGTTAGATCCGAACAAGCTACCTTTTTGCAATAAAATGAAGATATTTTATTATTAAAATTATGTTCTCTCCATTTAAATTTCTACCCAAGCATCTTAAAAGTTACTTCACTAAATTGAGATGAAAATTCTATGACTTTCTATCAAAGAATCTTTATCATATTCTGAGATTTAAAAAAAATTAGTAATTCATTTTGAAGCAGAAAAATCTTTTTGTCTATTTGACTTGCAAGTTTCACAATTGTATGACATTATTTTTGCTCTTTCAATTAAAATATGCCTATACCATATCTATTTTCTTGTTAAATTATATACTTTTCTTGATGCACAATTGTGTTTTTCTCCCCTCATTAAATGACAGCCTGGCTTATAATTAACCGAATAGTTCTGTCGTTATATTCCATTGTTTTCAATTTAATGGCTACATTGGCTACATTAACACGGCCGAGTTGAGCACGTGGAGGGCCTGCATTATTCGGGTTACCTTAGTATTATCAATGTATAGATCGTTTGCATTTTTAACTGGCAATTTGATTACTCTGGCGAACCAATAGTCCATGTATGCATATACAACTTTTAGATAAGAATTTATCGCTATTTGGGATCTGCGACACTTGAACTAATGACGTCATTCAAAAAATCACGTTGTGTTCGTTTGTAGCGTCAGACATTTTCTATTGTGACGTCAAAATTTTACGGGAATCTTATGATGTCCAGTAATGGCGGACAAATAGCAATAAGGTGTATTAAAATTGTATGAAAATAAAAAAAGAATGTAGAAGGGATTTACGCATGTAAAATTATGAGTTTCAGAAGCAGGAAGAAAAAAGCGGAGAAGCAAATCCTGCTTCAGATAACTCTAGGGGGCACTCTGTGCAGGACATCAAATACTACGAGTAATCACTTTGCTTTTAAAGAATATACTTCTTTTACCAAAAATTAAAATTTTGTTATTTCAATCGAAATTGTGTAAAAGGAAGCTTCAGGATATCCATAAACATTTGGTTATTCTAATTTAACAAAATATAGACACAATTATTTATTTCCAAACTCAAGCTGATGTTACACACCTTTTCAAACATTTTCTTCTGTAATACTAAACTTGCACATGCTGTGACAAACCACGTGTTTCCCAATTCACCTTGAACTAAATCGTCACAACTAACTCCTTCTATCACAAGTTTCGGAACTTTACACAATTCACTCGGTCTTTTCCATTCAATGGCATTGTCAACTTTACTGTAAAATAATGATTTATTATTGGCGGGAAATTCTGGATCTTCCCATAATTCTCCTTTCTTCAAGCACGCGCTTCTAATGGATCCAAATTTCTGGTTCTTGAACTTGTCTGACATTATGGAACGGACAACCTGTTAAAATGAATTAGAAAATTATAAAATATAGTATTATACTATAACGTTAACGAGTTCTGTGCCACAGGGCCGATACATCGGCCAATTCAAATGATGTGATGAACTACGTAATATAGAAGATAGAAATTAATCAAATAAGAACAAAATACCTTAACAAAAAAAGGTTAAGAATAAAATGCAAATGAATAAATAAAAAAAAAAAAAACCGCAATCACGTGAAAAAAAGATGAAAATTACGCAAAAAAGTGCAATATTCATTAATGACGTAATTGCTGTCATCCATCGGATTATAGCTGATTCTAATCCTTGGTTTCGAATTTATCCTCCTGAACTTAGGGATCACGTAGAATTTAACCAGAATTTGGGACATAAAAGAATGCCGCCGAGAATTCCAGACCTATTGCCTATTTCATGTTGATGTTCACAATTGAAATGATGAAGAAGTTTATCTTGGAAACAAACAGGTATGCGTAACCCCATATTCTTTTTAAAACGACACCTTTGAATTATAATGCACGGAATAAATTTCAATGAAAAAAACTTTATTGCGTCCAAATATTTTAGAACAATACGGCATACGTTAGGAAAGGCCGAACAGTTAAACAGAAATAATAAATCAATGGGTTGAATACAAGAGATACCAAAAAAGAAAAATATCTAACAAAAGCAAAACGCGGGGGACGGAGCTAACAACAGTGCTATGCACTCGATTTCACCATAAAATTAATATCCAGTATTGCATCGTAAAAAATTATTCTTGAGCGTACCAGCCAAATTAACATTCGAGGCCAACATGATACTTCAATGGAAAGATGTTACAGGTTTCCTTGTAACATATATGCTCTTCGATCGGTGCATGTGTTTACTAATTTATTATTTTGTCCCTTCTTCCAACGTATTATCGCTCCACAGTCTTTCTTAAAAAAGAAAAGAAAGGAAAAAAAAAGCACTCAACCCTCAGACCTTTGTGAACAATAATAAAATTATAAATTACAATTACAGTGAATAATTATTGTGCGATTGTCAAGAATTAAGAACACATATTTTTTCATATTTAGATACGCTAGAAATTTTATACGAAGAAATCAGCATAATATCAGCAATAAATCCAAGGTTAATGATTGGCGTAAGAAAGGCAAATTAACATTAATATATTGTTAATGTATCGATGACATCACAAAAAACCTGGAAAACGGAAAACAATCAGATCTGCTAATACTTGACTTTTCAAAAGCTTTTGATAAGGTGTCCCACAGCTTACACCTTCATAAATTACACCATTATGACATCCGAAGGAAAACAAACAAATCGATAAGGGAATTTCTCACCAACAGAACCCAAGTAGTAGTTGTTGAAGGCGAAATATCTGACAAAGTAAAAGTAGAATCCGGAGTACCGCAAGGATCAGTATTAGGACCCAGTCTTTTTCTGTTTTACATCAACGACCTACCAAAGCCTACACTCCACAGTGAGACTGTTTGCAGACGATACTGTGGTCTATTTGACCATTTCATCAGACAGCGACTGCCATACACTCTAAGAAGACCTGGGCAAACTAGCAAAATGGGAAGAACTCTGGAAAATGGAGTTCAATCCTGAAAAATGCAGTGTCCTCACAGTCACAAAAAGAAAAAGCCAATCAAGTGGGACTATGAAATCCACGGACATACTCTGGTGCATGAAACATCAACTAAATACAACCACCATTGCAAATGATCTAGATTGGGGAGAACATATTAACAACATAACAGGAAAAGTCAGCCGAAGCCTTGGTTTCCTACATCGAAACCTCCACATTACCTCAAAATCCATCAAAGAGCATGCCTATAAAATATTAGTAAGACCGGAAATGGAATACGCGCAACAGTATGGGACCCGTACCAGCAAAACCAAATAGATAAAATTGAAAAGGTACAAAAACGATCTGCACGATATGTAACCAGCAGACATAGAAATAGATCAAGTGTCAGCAACATGATAACTGAATTAGGATGGAAAAGCTTACAAACAAGACGAAAAGAAGCTCGACTCATCATGTGTTACAAAAAACAAACGACCTTGTAGCCACAGACAAGAATAAATATCTACAAAAACCAACAAGAAGCTCAAACCGGACAGGACAATATACTTCCCTATTACAGCCAGCCACCAAAGACTGTAGGAAATTGTACTTCTTCATAAACACCGTCAAGGATTGGAACAAACTGCCACCAGATATCGCCACAGCAAAGTCTTTTAAGATATTCAAGTATCAAGTGACCAAAACCACAAACTAAATCAACGAACAATTTGTTTTTATCCTGTTTTAACCTGTTTTTAATCATGTGCAACTTGCCAGAATATTCATAATTTTTAATGTGGGCAGAATTTGGAAAGTAAGAAGTCTTCGTTGCTGTAATTTTGAATGTTGGCTTAAGCAGAAAGGCGACGATATCTGAATACTGGAACGGAAAACATTTTAGTCAATCAACTCCTTGTTTCCGGAAAGTTTTCACTAGGAATCGCTTCCAATTGGTGTTGAAATTCCTCCATCTTGTTGACAGTAGAAAGATAGCGCCGATAAATTCAGCAAGTTATGATCCTATTGCAAAATTTTAACCGACCAATGAATATTTCAACCTAAAAGCGAAAACGCGTTATTCTCCGTCTCAAAACCTATCTATTGATGAATCTTTAATCGGGACCAAATTCCGTACAGATTTGCGACAGTACATTCCAACAAAGCACGCTACATTTTGTGTGTTGACAGAAGCCATTACAAGGTATTGCTTTCACTTCAATGTATACAAAGAAAAACAGATATGATCCCACTCCCGCAGGAGAGACCCAAGATTTATATTTTGTTACATCATTACTTCGCGCTGCTGGTTTACTGCATAAACCGCACCATGTGTTTTGCGACTCGTTTTTCACCTCTTTCGCTTTAGAGAAACGGTTGTTAAACTTACATACATATGCAACTGGAACTGTGCGTAGTAATCGCCCGTTACCAAACCTTATCAAATCGGCAAATTTAAGGCTTTGCCAAAGTAGGTTTATGCGTCAGCAGGAAATTTTGGTATGTGCGTTTAAGGAAAAAGAAAAGCGCAAAAATGTCAAATTGTTGTCTAGTCGGTACAATGCAGAATTAGTTGCAAACCGAAAATCTAAAATGATAACAGAGTATAACAAGAGGCTCTCAAGAGCCTGAATCGCTCACCTGTATTTCAGAGGAGAAGATTTTTAAATGTTAGCAAACTTGATGAACAAATTGTGTAAAATTGTCTTTAAAGGGCAATAACTCCTTAAGGGGTCAATTGACAATTTTGGTCCTATAAACTTTTTTGTAGATCTTACTTTGCTGAACATTATTGCTGCTTACAGTTTATATATATCTATAATAATATTCAAAATAATAACAAAAAACTGCAAAATTTTGTTAAAACTACCAATTCGGTGCCAGCAACCCAACAATGGGTTGTTCGATTCGTCTGATAATTTCAGGGCCGATAGATCTTGACCAATTAAACATTTTTTCCACATGTCACATTTGCTCTAAAAGATTTAGTTTTTGAGATATAAGCCAAAAACTGCATTTTACCCTTATGTTCTATTTTTAGCCATGGCGGCCATGTTTGTCAATGGATACAAACTTCTGATATGATTTATAAACAAGATACCCTAAGGAACATTTAGTTAAAGTTTGAAGGTAATTGACCCAGTAGTTTCAGAGGAGAAGATTTTTAAATGTTAGCAAACTTGATGAACAAATTGTGTAAAGTTGTCTTTAAAGGGCAATAACTCCTTAAGTGGTCAATTGACAATTATGGTCATATTACCTTTTTTGTAGTTATTTGCTGAACATTATTGCTGCTTACAGTTTGTATATATCTATAACAATAATCAAAATAATAACAAAAAACTGCAAAATTTTGTTAAAACTACCAATTCGGTGGCAGCAACCCAACAATGGGTTGTTCGATTCGTCTGAAAATTTCAGAGCTGATAAATGTTGACCAATTGAACAATATTTACCCCATGTCAGATTTGCTGTAAAAGCTTTAGTTTTTGAGATATAAGCCAAAAACTGCATTTGACCCCTATGTTCTATTTGTAGCCATGGTGGCCATGTTTGTCGATGGACCAAAACTTCGGATACAATTTATAAACTAGATACCCTAAGGAACATTTAGTCAAAGTCTGAAGGTATTTGGCCCAGTAGTTTCAGAGGAGAAGATTTTTGAAATAGTTTACGACGACAGACGACAACAGACGACGACGACAGACGACGGACGACGACGAACGCCAAGTGATGGCATAAGCTCACATGGGGCCCTTCGGGCCCCGGTGAGCTAATAAATATATGGAAGGCGTCGACTTTATGGAAGGCGTCGACTTGAACGATATGTTCTCTAGTTTTTAAGAGGACGGCCGAAAATCAACACTCGGGGAATGTGAAAGAACTCAACTAATTTAAGTTCTAATGCAATTGTTATGTAATTTTTTTTTTCATTGGCTAAAATTTACCAGCATTGTTTCTTGATTCTGCTTTAAACATCATATAGTAAACACGAAAACAGGGAAAAGGAAGCAAACGCCAATGAGACATTAACCCAACACTCAGAACAATCTAAAGACATTTAGGGGCCACCAAATAGACAGCTAGTGTCTTTAAAATATGTCAATCTCAAAATCACCTTTAGAATGGAGAATGGAAACGGGGAATGTGTCAACAGCACAAGGCCAACAATGGGTCTTCAACGCAGGGAGAAAATCCCGCACCCTGGGGCGGGGTTCCAGCTTACCCCTTAGAATACAACCAACTGGTGTGAATAGATTCATCAGATACTATGCATATCAATTATGAAAGATATGCAATCAGTTCCAAATTTTCCAAATACCCCCCCCCCCCCCCCCCCAAAAAAAAACAAAACAAAAAAAAAACAAAAAAAAAAAACAAAAAAACAAAAACAAAAAAACTATGAATTTACATATGTCTATAAAGGTATCAGTTTATACACCTAACCTAATCAAACAGACAACATACATTTAGTTAATGTTTGTATGTTATCTTTCGTCGCCTGAGACATTATGAATCTTTTGGTTTCTTATACTTTCGGTTCTGAAGAGTGTTCAAGAAAAAAAATCGTTAGTTCATTGAATTATTTTAGACACAAAATGAAAACAGAGTTCAAAATCTTGCAAACTAAGGTAAAATATATCGGCCAATTTAATGAAAATACAAAGTAACAGAACAATTTGATTCTAGCATAATTATTACAAGAAAACGTCAATTATCAAAATATTATATCAACCCATTTCTACGTTTGAACATAATAGTCTTCTTCAATAGGAAAAAGGATCTCTCCATTTATAAATACACGCACACTATATGTGTCTATTCAAAACGTAAAGTGTATTGTAGTTTTACTATCCATTGAAAAGTAATTTATTGTTTAGTAAATTGAATATGGGGATTTAAATTTCTATTTGAGAAGTATGAGAGCAATTCACGGTTCAACTGAAATATTCATGTATTTGCTATTGTAAGTTTAAATCTTTATTTGAATTTCATAATTCGAAAGCAGTTGAATATGTGTACCTCACTTTATAAATAACCAATACTAATCGATTTTTATTGAATATATCAAACGTTTATTTGAAGTGTATTTAATTCTCTATTGAAATTAGAAATCTACCTTACGTACAACGTGATAACTTGTTATTGGTTTTTGACTTGATAATGCCGATGGAATTACATGTATTCACCCATTTAGAATAAAATTGGAAAATCCGGCGACAACTTCATTGTGCAATAAACCATTTTTATTGACATACTTGTAAATGAATAGACTTTATTAAAATATTTTAAAAAATGTTATCATTTATATTAAAATTTTAATGTCAGATCTTTGATTTTTTCTGCTCAATCAATTAATTTCTTCCATAGACTCGTGAAGGGTCTCTGTGGCCTAGTAGTTTAAGTAGTTCACACTATATCACACTAGTCCAAATACTTATGACGTCTTGAAAGGCTACAGAAAAAAAAAAATCCTTTCAAGACGTCATAATTATTTGGACTACTGTATCACTAGCCAGTCAACAATGAGGTTACGAGTTCGAATCCTGCACGTGGCAGGTACAAACGTGCAACTCCAATCTTAATTGACTAGAATTGTCAGTTTTCCTGTCGAAGGTCCTTGGTTCTCTCCGGACACCTCGGTTTACCCCATGAAAGAAACTGACCGCCACGATATAGCCAGTAGTGCTGAAAGTGGCGTTTAACACTAATAATCGATCTACCAATCACTCATATACTCTGGATTATTAAAGAGGGACACATATGTATTGGGTAGACTCCTGTCTACAGTTGAAGATAGCATTTTGCCTTCTAAATATCTGTTTGTTATTTTTGCCGTTGTGTTACTGCCTGATCCACATTTTTTTTGTATTCACAAACATACAGTCTAGCCATGATATTAAAAAAACACTTATAACGATAATGAAAGACGTACACCACCCAGCTGTTTTATCTTATATTTTTATCCGTGGTTTATAAAAAAAAAGCTGAAGGTAAAAATGGGACATTTAAGGCTCATTAATTGAAAAGAAACAGACAACGTCATGGCAAAATACGAAACACGACGAAAAGATAAACAAGTCCAAAACACTACATAGAAAAAACTAAAGACACAAAACTAAAGACTCAAATTACAAAACTACAAGAACCCCACCAAACACGGGAGTGATTACAGGAGCTCCACATGTGGCACCCGTTATGTTCTTAATGGTTAAACAAATTTAGCAATGTTCCTGTTGGTGATGTCACAACCGATCAAAACAGTACAGAATTGTGGGTACGACAATTAGAACATCCTTGATCATCTGTGACATAGATGTTCAATAAAGGTCACCCAACTCGTGATGGCGTCCATAAAGTTTTCGAAGGGATGATTTCAACTTCACCACTTAGCATCCTTGATTCAATAGCTTCAACCCTCAATCAGAAAAATTATGTTAAACTTTTTTCCGTGAACCTTGCCCTCATTTGAGAGTTTATTTTGTAAATATTTTACAGAATATTAAAAAATATACACACACATATGTTTATGAATTCAGTTCAATTGTTAGTTCTTCTTACGAACGGTATATATATTCTAAGTGTCGCGTGAATGCCATATCCTTACCAAGTTCAAGGACCCGCACCCACCCCCTTTTTGTTTGGTTTAACCACCACAGACTAGTTATTAAAACATAATAAAATGTTAACTGGTTTCACGTCAACCGTTGGGTGAGACTTACGAATTTTATATAAAAAAAACAAATATGACAGACATGAACAAACGACAATCAATGCTCCTGACTTGGGACAGGCACATCAAGAATGTGGCGGGGATAAACATGTTTGTGAGCGCTCAATCCTCTCCTTTTCCTATTTCTAATCCCGTTCCAGATCCAAGCAATTGACATACTTCAAACATGGGTTACTTATTGAAAAGTTTCCCACTGGACATGGATCAACTACATCTTTGTCATCCGCCAAACATTTAGAATTGAATTCAATAATTTGAAATAAAATATCTAGTTCTATTTCGACTTCCTTTATTTACATTCTTTACAAATTAAATAACATTTTTGTTTACAAATGAATGAATTATTGACATACATTCTCGTATGTTTATGTAAAAATCATATACAAATTGATTAGTATTTTGTGAAACGGATCTTCCATTATCCATTTAATTATTAAATACAATTCCATTAAATTTATAATAAATTAATTACCTCCTTCGCAGTGTTTGCCATGGTGACACGTGTTAATATATTCCCCAAAAATGAAATAGAATAAATAAATTGATTTGATAGTCCGTCTGGAATTTAATTATGAAATGCTGATTTTAAAACCAGAAATGTTCGCCATATTGGATTGCTAAGTAAGAAAAACAAAACATAAATGGTTCATTAAATCTGAACTTTAGCTAATATCGATGAAAGCCAGATTAGTCGTGGTTTAAAATGAACAATGAATTAAACTACTAGACCGTTCTTTCATTGTACATCTATATGCTTTCAGTGTACAGAGGTGGATAAAAGGAGACAAGGGGCCCGAGCCACCTTATCGAGATCTTTATATGGTTAATGAATAGAATATTTACAAGTCCCACTCCTAACGTTACTTTTTTGCCCCTTTTGGGTCTGCATCTGGTGCAGTAAGTGAAACCAAGCACAAATGTGAACTGTAAAATTTACTGCATTCGAAGCATGATTTTAATCGACCAACATCATAAACGGTTCGATCTAAGACCAAGAATTAAGAAAGCTAAGATGCATTAATGTAAAAATCCAATTTATTATATACTTTGTAGCAAATACAGAAAAAAAAATGCATGTATAATACGATCAATAACAACCGTGCTGTATCAGCCATCCGTGATGATATCGATATCAGTCACGGTTGCAAAGGCTTTATCAAACACCTAATTTTTATTACGTCATGTCACGTGAAAAATATCTACTTGAGGTTCAAATGTATATAATAAAGTGTATATCATACGGCTTTTTCAATATCACACACCGTATCAACCCTCAACCAATATAATCCCTCGAGTAGAGCTCTTGGGTTTATATTGGTGTCTCGGGTTGATACAGATGTGATATTGAAAAAGCCATATGATATTCTCTATTAATGTTCTCTATCTGTCTGGATCACTTGAAAAAGTTCAGCGACCCATCACTCAGTAAACTGTATTGACATCGTCCAACATGGCTGCATCTTGTAAATTTCACAAATAATTGGTGCATGTTTACAATTTATACTGTTCGTTTGGAGACCAAGAAAACTCAGTTTTGATCATGCATGGACAAAGGCCGTACAGTGCCCTATAGTAATTTGTTGTTTACATTTTCGTTCTTTGGTTTCTGGAGGATAGTTTCGCTAGTTGGAATTCAGAGCACATATACCTTTTTTTATTGATAGAAAAGAATCAGTCACAACCATAATGTTCGGTAAACCTTAAGTCGAAAAAAAAAAAAATCCGCAACCTATAATTTGAGTGTCATCAAGGATGATCGCTGTGGTATATTAGCGCCATTTAGCAATTGGTTGCGATTTTTAAGTTAATGTTTTCTTAAACATAGCCCAAAATAAAATGACGAAACAATAATGTTTATAGAAATTACCCAAGTCGTTATTGTAACACTTTGTCGTGATAAATCATTTGCAGAAATATACTTTACTAAAGTGTTTTATTCTGAAAAAAGCAAAAATCAAAAATCAAAGGAAAAAATGAATAATATAAATAATAGTAATTAAAAAATACAATTGAAATGTAAACACAAATATACTTTTTTTCTCTCCAGTATAAGTAAATATTGAATTTATGGATTTTTATTACTTTCTGAGATAACAGATTAAATGCTGTCAAAAAGTACGTAACAAATTGGTTACTTTACGACAGATTAATCCTTAATAACATCGACCACTTCCTTGTAAGACTAACAAGTTTTTACACATAACAATATGTTTTATTTCAGCTTTGTTTCATTTATCATGTTTATATATAAAAAAAAACGACTAATCTTACACAAATCATTCTTGTAGATTAAAAAAAATAAATTTTAGCTGACGATGTTGATTTCATCTATCACTATGAACTAAGAATAAAGGATGCTGTAAATTAGCTCAACTTCACAGTGGTGAGGTTTAAAATTAAAACGATGAGAAAAAGTCTCACGTGAGAAGATTTAACCAGAGACCTCTCGCAGTTAGGGAAACTATAAAGCAATAGGACACTATCGAAACTTGGTATAGAACTACTGTTGAAAAGAAGACAAAAGAGTATTACCACAGGTTACAGACATAAAGTTGAAGAGAGGCCGACCATGATAAAAACTAAAAATTGACGAAAGGACATAAAAGGTCTACAAAACGCTACATAGAATATTAAGACACTGAGCAAAACGAACCCCATCTATCATATAGAATAAATCATGTATATATTTTATTCCATTAATATATTTTCTTCAGTTGGTGTCTTTTTGGCTTATAAACAACATCTTCTTGAATTCATACCCAGACCGATATTACAATTACTAGAAGTACACAAAATCATCATATTTCGATATGGTTGTTTAAAAAAAATCTTATTCCAAACACTTATTTGATCAGAGAGGATGAAAAAAAAATTCAGACTGCTTTTGCCATAAATTAAATGTAAGCTTCTTCGTGAAAAAATAATTTGATGCTAGCTTTTGCGAAAAAAAAAAATGATTGTAAAAAAAAAACTGGTAACTTCCACCTCAAAGTTACATGGTCGTTCCGTAAGTATTCATTTTTTTAAAATTAGTTACTAGACCGTAATTTAATTTCAATGACTATTGTTTTTACAAGGACAAAACTTTCTTTTTAAATGGAAATTTGATGATCTATATTATATAATGCGTGTTCTATTTATAAGTATGCGCGAATTAGAACATTATAAGCTTCACTACACCTAGTTTAAAATTATCTTTGAAATTCAAAGATCAATACATGAATATATTATAAACCTACTTTTAGCTGCTTTTCGTAGCTCTGAAATAGCCGTTTAGCGTGCTAGCCTCGAGCGTCGGAGGTCGTGGTTTTGTTGTCCGACCCGGCCTAAACAAAGACTTGAACATTTGTTGTTGCTATTTCTCCGCTCAGCAGTATTTAGGAGAAAGACGAAGAATGGTCGGCTCTAGGTCAGAATAATGTGTCCGGGTAGGACGGCATGTCTTCTTTGTGAACTAGCATGTTGAAAAAATCTGACTCGTGTGTCGGTCTAGTACACAACAGGGTTCATATTTATATCACTTTAGCATATTTTTTTTCCGATACGCATGTAATATTTTCCACTGGACATAAAAACCAACCAGTCACCATCCTCTTCGTTTTGAAAATTTGTCTATTAATTTAGCATTACAAAACAAAAGAAAAGGTAAAGATGTCTTCAATCGATGCCAACGTTTGAAAAATATATTCAACCTGTGCCAAGAAACAAAATACAATAGGTGTTGTTATGACAATTAACAAATATTTGCGGATAAAATCCAGTAAAATACAGTCCGCTGTTATATTCTTTTCAACCTATGCGGCTATGCCAACATTTTTCATACAACTTAATTCCTAAATTTCAACATTTTAGCATAAGAAGAATGAACCATTGTAACATGACAAATAAACAAAGAGAACTATTAAAGGATGAAAAAAAAAAACACAAACACAATAGCAAAACAGAAACTCGACTAAAAAAAAAGTATTTAAAAATTGAAATTAATAATACCAACATAAATACAGAGATCATGTAATTTGCTGTAAAACGAAGGGGATGAAAGCTATTGAACGTCTATTTTATGTTTTCTTTATCCCAAAGAACAAGGAACTCAAACTAAGCAAAGAAATGCAACTAAAGGTACAGAAACACAAACAGAACATATGCTTGACGGAATGAACACAATTTTGGATGTAGCCAACATTATGATACCGATTCCGTATGCTGATCGTGGAAAAGGAGACCCCAAATCTATAATGGCCATTGTTCATAAAAGAACTGAAAATGATAATGCCTGGCTACGAACCATGAAATTCTTGTCAGATATTACACAAGGAATCAGTTTGAGGCGTCTGATTGACCTTTTTAGCACCTTTGGATGTTTCTGATGAACACTTTAATTCTCTTCAACGTGCAGTAAAATTGTATTTAATACTAGTATGTGAAGGCTAAGTTTTTGTTTTTGTTATTGTCTTGCTGCTTAAAAAAACCAACCACAAACAGCCGAGCAAATGTCCAATAGTAGAGGTCTGGGTGGGGTTTACCAATAGAGAATAATGGGCAAAAAGTGCACAATAAAGGTCTTGAAAAATAAAGAAAAAGACAAAAATAGACAAAAAAGATAAAGAATAGAGAATAATGGGTTGTTAAAACATGCAGAAAAAAGAATAATAGGCAAAATAAATAAAGAATAGAGAAAAGGGATATAAAACTTAAAAAATAAAAAAATGAAGGACACCCTATCCAGACCCTCACAGTAGATATCATTTAAATTGTAGTTTGTAAAAATGATTGATTTTTATAAGAATATTGTTATTACAAATTTAACAATATGTTTCTAACGATGTTTAGATATGATTTTATGGAATAAATTATTTAACTTTTATTCATTGTCTCTTAATTCAAGTCATTATGTATAACCCTGACATTTTTTCTAGTGATTATGCATAATTCCTGAAAGTTTTAGTAATTATATATAATCACTAAAATTACCAGTGATTATACATAATCCCTGAAAATTTCAAGGATTCTACATAATCCCTAACTATACACATTAACTGTAACTTATATACATATAAGCTGCTGGTATTGTAATATAGAATGGATAAAGGCAAGAACACATCACATAAGTGAAATCAGGTTAAAATGTTAGAGAACATTAACTAAAAAAAATTAAAACACACAAATAAAAAAAAATTGAAAAAAAGTGGGGTCCATTCCCCAAGCGCATGTGGTTCCTACAACAGAGCGTCATAAAAAGAATAGTGAAGCAATTAAAAGTCGGATACAGTAAAGAGCCTTAATTCAAATAGTCTAAAATGTGTCAATTTACGGTGTACTCGAATATAGTGTGCCCTTGTTGTTTCGTTCCGACTAACCCTTAAACTAACGATTACTTAAACGCAACTATTTCAGTCGAGCATTATTAAGACCGTGAAATAAGATTAGAACTTCAGTACAGGGACTTGTCTTTCCTACATTTTTTTACGAAGACAATGCGGTAACGGGAGAAACCGTGACGTTGAATAAATAAATATGTTTGACAGATCTATTGAATTATGATTTATTAATACATATACAGTTTTAGATAATGATATGGCATTTATGTAACTTGATCTGTAAGCAAAGAATACTACTAATTGTATTAC